ACTTAATTAACAGCGCAGACGGTAGTTATCAAAGCGCTGAAAGCACCATCGCCAGATAGCCACGGCCGAACCATTAACATTAAATTTTATCAGATTACATGTTATGTTTCATGTTAACTGTTAGTATCCGACGATGTGAAAGCACTAGGTGATTCAGTGTTGTAAAGCAATTGAAAATTATAAAATGTTTTATAAAACATCTTATGTTTTCACTAATTTCAAAGAAACCCAAATAAGAATTATTTTGTAAAAAACAATAATTTTATTTTAATAAAAGAAGCAAGAGTATACATATGCTGTGTTAACCTCATCTGTTAAGGGCAACTATCAATAACATCTTATATATATTTAAAAGGGGCATAACTCTTAAAAGTATTGCCATTATTCGTACAATTCTGCATAGTCATGGTAATTAAATAATTACTAATGCCAAGTCGAAAGTTTTGATAATTTTGAAATTATCTTACTAATAATGAGTTATTTTGACAAATATTCCAAAATAAAAATATAATAATGCCTCTTGTCTTTCAATGTGCCTTGCTATTTTTAACAATTATTCCGAGATCATCTTACTAATAAAAAATTATTTTGACAAAAAGTCCAAGTTAAAAAAGGGGCAAAATATATCTTTCAGAATAATGCCTCTTGTCATGCAACTGTGCCTTGCAATGTTAAACAATTATTTCAAGATTCATGCTGATATTTTTAAAAAATATTCTGGTAATGCTACATTAAAGTTTTTGCATGATGACAACTAAATTGCAGCGTGCATAATACTCGAAACAGATAAGGTAATAAAATTGTATTTATTGTCCAGGTCAAGCAAATACAACTGGCAAGACGAACTTGTTTGGTATGAGATAAAACACAACACTTGGGTTGAATGAAATAGGGCATTTATTAAATGCCATAAATGACAAATGTTACATAATAACAAACATGACAATCAAAATACACTTTCAAATAGAAAACAATCTTAGCAAAAGTTATAATGGATGACACAATGTAGAACAAAAACACCTTAACAAATATAATTTTATAATATGAACTGCTGATCAAAAAGAAAATTGATCAAAAAATAGTTTTCAAATCGTGGTCGACTCGCCCAGGAAAAACCATAGTCTGGAAACCTGTGCCCTTTTATCTTGTGTCTAGTACCACTTGATGTAGGGCTACATCCTTGAAAAATATTTTACAAATTCTGTACATGAATAAGTGTATTACATATGACTAGATGATAAGTATTTATGATAAACAATAAAAAATTTGAAAGAGATAATATAACATCGACTAGTTTGATAAATATTTGCAAGAACAATATACATATAATGTACCTCATGAATAGTGACACAAGTATTTTGGGATAAACAATAAGTGAAAGGATTGTATTCATGAACAATAAATGAAATGGTATTTATATCAACTACACAAAATGAAAGAGGAGGGTGGAGTTGGAGGAGGTGGATTTTAGTAATAAAGAATGTCAAGATATCCTTCTTCGCCAAAATTATTTCTTTGTGATAGATCTAATGTAATCATTGGTTAATTAACATCACATGATTTAGGTCTTGATATTGATTGGATAAGACATACTTAGCTAAAACCCGGGTAATATTCTGTACAGTACAGTGATGAGAATATGTCTCAACCCGGTACGGAATTAGACCGAATCCGTTGTAGTCTAGAAAGTAGTTCTTTTAAATTTTGAAGTGGCCCAATTTAAGTCATCTCTAGTTAGATTGGTCATAATAAAAGTGTATTTATTGCATGTGTGTAGTTTTTGTATGTTATATGACGACTTTAAAAGTTGTTTTTTGTGTATTCTCCAGGAACTCATTTGTTGGCGGAAGGATTAAAGATGTAGCACCCACCAGCAGTCAGGAGTTTTTAAAGTGGTGAATTTAAACAGTGTTACAACAGAATGAAGATTTCTGAAAAAAGTAGACGGCTAACCTATTATATTTTGGGCCTCATTTGACTTAGATAGTGTTGATGTTTAAAGTTGAAGACAGTATATAATTTATCAAGAACAGTGAAATCCAGAATTAAGCCTCAAATGTGACTGATTTACTATAGAACAAAGAATACGAAAATTCAACGGGCCGAGACCAAAAGGGACCAATGACATAAATAATTTTATGTGAGCATAAAATCTTATGTATGCAATATAAAATACTAAAGAATCGTGTCCTTGAGACAGACAGTCATGTTAAAATCAAGTGTCAAGATTTGAGAATCAGAATCAAACTATTACTTTTTTCAATAACATAAATGTCTGTCATATTGCGAGTCATTCATGCAAGTTTTGTTTCGTACAGGAATGATACTAAAATTAGAATGGCATTGATCCAGGTTTAGAGCATGATCTTTATTTTATCGTAACAAAACAACAAACCACGTGCGAGGTATATGTTCTTATTACATAATTTAAATAGAATAATAATAATAATAATAATAATAATAATAATAAATTATAGTAATAATAATAATAATAATAATAAATAAATAAATATTATTTAATAAATAAATAGATAAATAAATAAATATAAATAAATAAATAAATAAATAAAATGTTCTAGTACAAAAAATATCATTCATCATAATAATATCCACAATAAATCACTTACAATTTTATTTAATTAATTTCAGCCTGGTTCCACGATATCAAGTTTTGGTACACTATATAACAAGAAAAGCATTGATGCAAAGCATCAAAGGGCGTCCAAGCAAGAAATGCAGCAAGTGAAGATGAACTAGTACACATATGATGACAAGATATTCTTATAAACTACCAGAAATGTATACCACTTATGAATGAGCGGACGAAAGACATTGTTCATTATGAACTTTGATTGGCATGCTAGAGATTAGAATATTACTTGTTATTTCTTTATGATCGTGGTTATTAATAGCAACGGATATACATGTATGCAATCATTTATAATCCATATGTGTAACGCATGATCAACACGTACCACACATTTGTCCCTTATTATGTTATCGCGATTAGCGAAGACCCCCTTAAGGTATCTGTTCACACTTTAAGTTAGTAAAAATATGACACTGGTTATATTACCATGTTGATCATGTTGAGCATAATTGTTTATTATACAATAATTGTAATATCTATTAATTTTAATTAAAAAAAAATACAAATTTTATGAATATTGTTTTCTTTTATTCTTTTTTGTGTTTTATGTGCTATTTTAATACTGAGTTTTTACTACTCTTTTTTATTAAAATTGTAAAATAAATTTTAAGAATTCAATTGTCATATTGACCGACGATTATAAGTCAAAGCTTAACTGGAAAAAGTCAGTAAATTATGGTTTATCTTTCAATATATAATATTGTTTATTCTTAAACCATGTACATTGTATTTTTCTTTATCATTTTTTTAAATTATCGATCAATTGAATAATTCATAAAATCTAATTTGTAACTTTGAATAATTCCTCGGCATCTTTACTAAACACGGATAACAAATTAAATAATTAAATAAAATGTTTCAGAGTTGATAATGTCATTTTAATACCATAAAAAATGTACCTTTTTCTCAATTATTGTACATATCACGGATTTATATTACATATAAATCCGTGTACATATTTATTGTTTTTATCTCATATAGATAAAATGAAACATGCTATTGTTGTTTTTTTTTCTAATTGTAACGATATCAAACATCTACTCCAAAACCGGGAGAGACTGGACAATAAACCTGTGGTACTATTCGCCGGTCACTAGTAAATCCTGGTCAAAATAGACCGGGAGAGACCGGCATTTACCGATAGGAGTGATAAATAGATATATCTATAAATAGGTTTTTGGAATATTTAGGTCATCAACTGATCATTCTAGGATACATGTACAACAATAACATACCATGCTAACCGACTGTGTACTACAAAATGATAAATACAAAACCCCGAAGGGCGCGATTTATTGACGGAAAAGGTTATTTCATTTGAAAATGTTTGCATTGCGAAAATTCATTGTAACATATCGCGACATTTCATTCTTATTTAATAATCAAGCACCCGCATACCGATCGGAATTTTCGGCTTTTATTATGACCGACTAAAAGGCTCGAGAAGTTGCTGTCGCCCTTTCACAAAATCTGATCTCATTCCATAAGAGCGCCGCGCTTCGGCGCGGGCGCCAATTACATGAAATCAGAAAATTGTACAGTCAATTGTTTGTATACGGAGAAGCGATAATATTATCTTTCCAGTTGACCAAAATGTTTCGCAACAAAGCCAGAAATCTAAAATGGGTCCCGAAGTGTTAAGCGGATATATGAGAATGTTTTTATTTACTTTTTTGTATTGAGGTCTGACAAAATAAATCGTATGAATAATGCATCTTATAAAATCACATAAGACTCGGCTGCTTTGCAGTCGAATAAATAGTACATGTGTTGCTAAATAACAAACAAACATAAAATACGAGTAAATTCTTGTTTTAATGCATTTCAAACTTCAATAGGTCTTTCTTTTCAGGTATTTATGTTTATAGAAAGTTTGGTTATCATTTTAAGATAATAGATAAATTCCAAAGAGGTACTGACATACTACCACCTCACAATCAAGCAGACTTAGGGGTGCCAAACGGCTGGTCACGTGATCAATCGAATAATTTACTTAATTTGTAAGGGAAAAATAGTAAGAATAAGTTGAAAAAAAAAAGAAATAAAAAAAGGTACAGATCAAGTCTTATAACATATTCAATTCTATTAAATTGGTTTTGAAGAAGCAAAAGTTCTGAAACTGCGTTAAATATTGAAATATTTTGTGAAAATGTTGGTGAAAAGAAAATAAAAACTTAAGATAATTTATTTCAGTGTTGTCTCAATAGTAATGACATAATTAACTTAACAGAAAAAGTATGACTTAATTATATTTTCTTTACTTTAGTTTCGATGTTTCATTTTGTATTTTCAAACACTATTTTCATTGCATCATTTTTATGCAAGAATAATTATATATGAATATTTCATTCACTGAAATAGTGAAGATAATCAATCGATGTTAACTGATTAGATGATTATGTGTTTGAAAGTACATCTTGAAAACTTTACAGAACTGAACAATGGAAATGTGATTCTATTTAGTGAGCGCCTTTTCTTAAAAAGATGAAAATATTTTGTAACTAAAATAGTAGGAAATAATTGAAAAATGTAATATGAAAATATACCTACTATTTTCACAACGAAAATTAAAATTTGCTTGTAACGTATAAAAAAACAGTTAAACAATTGAGAAACAATTTATGTGCAAATATTTCTTTTATCTTTTTAAAACTGATAAAACCGTTTGAAGTTTATGCTCACAGTGATTTTTTTTTTAAAAAAAAGTTTCTTTTTTCATTTATTGGTACAAATATTGTGTTGAATTATACAAATTATATCACGTGACCAGCAAAAATTTAGAAATAAGTCTACTTGTCGTGGGTTTAAGTCTATCAGCACGAGATTTAAAATGAAATTGATTCGACGTTCTCAATTTCCAGGACGTCCTCTTTCAGCCCATTTCCGGTTATGTAGTCTGCTTCATTGGCACGTGCGGAACTTATCATCTCAATCAAAATGTCACTGGAACTTACACACAAGCTGTGTGAATCTGCATTAACTTTTTTCAAAAGCTTTTTCTCTTTCCTTTTCTCAAACCATGCCATGATGAAACCAAAGCAGCTAGGAAATTTTGCGCGTTCTCTCTTGTCGTCTGCAACTTCAATTTCAAGGAACGCTTCAAATGGCTTATGAACCACTTGATCATCTCTCTTGTCGTCTGCAACTTCAATTTCAAGGAACGCTTCAAACGGCTTATGGATCTCGTGATCATCTCTCTCAGTCGCTTCTGTAATGGATTTTTGCTTTTGCTCAGCCTGAAAAATTATAAGACAAAAATAAATCGGACGTCTACATGAATTATCATTATTATTCAACATCTAAAATTGCTTATCTTTTTATCTTCATGCAAGCTTCCGTTTTATACGCAAGAATCAATTATGAATTGTCTTCACATTGTACATGTTTTACGACCCCCTTGAATACACCTATGGAAATCACGTTGGTATACGCAAAATTTTTCATATTAGATACACGTTTGCTAGTATGTTTTCATCCGAATTTATAAAATGGACTTGTGCAGCATCCATCTTTAGGACTGTCCTTATACTGTCCATTTCTTTCGGGGGAAGGGGGGGGGGGCTTGGGAGGGGGATATGAAGACGAAAATAAAAATCCTGAATGTGCTGGCTAGCCTGGCTGTTAACATTGGCAAAACTTATCATAAACAGTTGATAAAACTTATCATAAACAGTTGATACAACTTATCATACACAGTTGATAAAACTTATCATAATCATTTGGTAAAAATTATCATAAACAGTTGGCAAAACTTATCATGTTTGGATCTAGCAGGGTAAGAATGAATTGTTGATGCTATATTATCTTGAAGTAAATAAAGGCTTACCCTTTTCTTTTTCTTATTCTTCTTCGCTATCTTCTTCCTCATTCTGTTTGACAACTTCTTATCCTTTTTCTTTATTTCATCGGCTATTTCTCTCCTATCTGCTTGGTTCCCTGGTTTTGCCAAGAACATTTCCGCAATTCTTTTCAATCTTTCTTCTTCACTTTCTTTGTTCGTGCTGCTGTAGGTTTTGTAAATGACGTCAGTGTCATCTCCCATGCTTCTGACATCTATAATAGGTGGTAACGGATTTTTATCTTCCTCTTCAGCCATTTTTGGCTGTGAAGAATATTTACGATGTTGATGGTTCGTTGACCAGCGCCGCTTTGTTAATGCCGTCGTCAAGTGACGTTTTGACGTTCAGTTTTTTATGACGTCATTGACGATGCTATTGACGCTGTATCCGTACTAAGCACTTAATGTTTGTCTTCGCATATTTTGGTTTCATCATATATTTTTAAGGGAGGGAGATTTGGGATGAAAGGAATATTTATGTCATAATTCAACAACAGCAACAAATTTTTTTAAATATTTTTTCTTCTTTTTTTTTCAGGCGATTGTTTAGAAATGAGGTGTCTTGGTAGTCTCTTAACCTTTTCCCCTTAAAAGTTAAGGGAGCATATGGGGGTACCTTAATATTTAAAGGAAAAATCGGCCAAAGTTAAGGAATTTTTACCATAAGGAGTTTTATGAATAACAACTCTGGAAATTCTTAAAAACTAAGGGAACTTTTACGTATTTTAAGGGAAATCTTAGAATCTAAGGGATTTCCCCCCTAAAGAGCTTTACGAGTACGACCCCTGGTTTATAGTTGTTAAGTAACGTGGTCAATAACATCCCGGCGGTTCAAAGAGACATGAAAAGCAAACAAGAAAAGCAAATCTTGCAAATTTTGCTAAACATATTTATCTGTTAAACGACCGTCACAGCGGAATTGCGTTCCCAGTACAACCTTTAACGCAGTGAAAACATCAAGATCGCTGTAGGGTCGAGTGAGGAACGAGTCAAGTCGCCGCAAGCACATCCATCATTTCCTCGCAATCCCGAACCACGGCGACGGCCTAGCCACGGCGACTGTTTTGGACATGCAGTAAACAAACGACGATTATCGGCGTTCACATTAAATTTGAACAACGTCCCATGGTAGAAACTCCATGAACATTCAAAGCACTCTAGCTTTAACGTCCTGTAGATGCGGAATAGACCGCCTCCGTGGTCGAGGGGTTAGAGTCGATGACTTCATATCCAGTTACCTCCATGGCGTGGGTTCGATCCCCGGGAGATGCTTTGGTAGTTTAGCGCGAAGGAAGGTAGTCTAGTACTGGTGTAACCCTCCAGGAACGATGGTTAGGAAACTACCCGTCTATATGACAGAAATACTGCTGGGAAAAGGCGTAAAATGAAACAAACAAACAGATGCGGATTATCGACGAAAATTCACATTAATTTCTGGCATGTAATTTAGCGACTCTGTGGCTACCCCGATGCGTTTGCAGTGCGACAAAGTACTAGTTGCCAAATGATAATTTTTTTTTTGTCAACATTTGAATTTTTTATGGAAAAAGTGACAAATGTAAAGCAATTCATCTCAAGTACATGAAGCAGTTAAGTTTATTATTTTTTCAATAACATGTAAAACAAAAGTGTTTATGTGCTTCTGTTAAATTAGAGCAACTAATGTGGTTCCCTTCCTTCTGCTTGCTAGTTGGGTTTTTGATCTTACACCAACACTTTAAAGGTCATATGATTAGATTCCAGCTTTAGAAGTGGAGGAAGAGCTCAAGTGTCCCAGTGTGTATTACGTCAAACATGAGCATGGAATCAGAGAAGAACCACCAACCTGTTACCTAGCTGGATAGATTTATTAAGTGAAATTACTAATTTGAAAACAAAGACCTGGGTGGGATTCAAACCACAGTGGTAAAGGGCAAGTGATTTGGAGTTGGTGACCTTTATCACTCAGACATGAAGATGTTTCCTGCTTAAAATCTAACCTCTAGCTCATTGGGTTTTTTAAAAGAAGATTTTTTAAGTTTTTACTATACACATATAGTTAAAAACAATGACACCTCTGGGGTGGGGCCAGTTTTAACCCCAGGGCTTTTATTTGAACAAACTTTGTAGACACTTACTAGAAGATGTTTCATTCTTAATATCTAAACTCTAGCTATTTGGGTTTTTTCAAAGAAGAGTTTTAAGTTTTTGCCATACACATATAAGGAAAATCAATGACCCCCGGGGCGGGGCCAATTTTGACCCCAGGGCTTTTATTTTAACAAACTTTGTAGACACCCATTAGAACATGTTTCATGCTAAATATCTTAGCTCTAGCTCTTTGGGTTCTTTAAAAGAAGATTTTTTAAGTTTTTAATATATGCATATAGGGAAAATCAATGACCCCCTGGGGCGGGGCCAATTTTGACCCCAGGGCTTTTATTTGAACAAACTTGGTAGACACTCACTAGAAGATGTTTCATGCTTAATATCTAAACTCTAGCTATTTGGGTTTTTTCAAAGAAGATTTTTTAAGTTTTTGCTATACACATATAAGGAAAATCAATGACCCCCGGGGCGGGGCCAATTTTGACCCCAGGGCTTTTATTTGAACAAACTTTGTAGACACCCATTAGAACATGTTTCATGCCAAATATCTTAGCTCTAGCTCTTTGGGTTTTTTAAAAGAAGATATTTAAAGTTTTTTCTTTTGGTTGCCATGGCAACCAGAGTTCTGCATGGAATTAAATTCTTTGAACAATTTTTAAAGGTGACCACCAAAGGAACATTCCTGTGAAGTTTGGATGAAATTGGCTTAGTGGTTTATGAGGAGATGTCATTTAAAGTAAAAGTTTACGGACGGACGACAGACGGACGGACGGACGCCGGACGAAAAGCGATCACAAAAGCTCACCCTGTCACTTTGTGACAGGTGAGCTAAAAAGTATTCTCATTTTAAAGGCCCATTATGCCCAAGAAATGGTTTATTTCTCAGAAGCTTTTTATTTATTTTTTGGTGTTCTGTTATAGTTTCAAAACAATTACTGGCTGATTATTTGAAACTTTTTTGCTTCTGTTTATTTTTGGCAATTACTACGGTTACAGTGATTTAGTATTTTGTATGAAAGTAAAAAAAAACTACTGTATTTACATTTTGATACTTTTATGAAAAATAATTTCACATTCAGCAAAGATCTAACATGTCTCTAAAACCATTATTTAAATGTTTTAAAAAGTAGGAAAATATATTTTAATTCTGACGCATAATATGCCTTTTAAAAATGTGAAAGTCATTGATAAATTGTAAGCTTACCAAAAAGATAAACAAGAGGGCCATGATGGCCCTGAGATCGCTCACCTGTATGTAGGCCCCCCACCCCCCCACAACGTTGCAGGGCCAATTTTAACCCAAGGGCTTTTATTTGCACAAACTTGGTAGACACCCATAAGAAGATGTTTCATGCTAAACATCTATGCTCTAGCTCATTGGGCTTTTTAAAAGAAGATTTTTTTAAAGTTTTTACTATACACATATAGTTAAAAACAATGACACCCCTGGGGCGGGGCCAATTTTGACCCCAGGGCTTTTATTTGAACAAACTTGGTAGACACTTATTATAACATGTTTCATGCCAAATATCTTAGCTCTAACTCTTTGGGTTCTTTAAAAGAAGATTTTTTACTATATGCATATAGGGAAAATCAATGACCCCCTGGGGCGGGGCCAATTTTGACCCCACGGCTTTTATTTGAACAAACTTGGTAGACACCTATTAGAACATGTTTGATGCTCAATATCTTAGCCATAGCTCTTTGAGTTCTTTAAAAGAAGATTTTTTAAGTTTTTACTATATGCATATAGGAAAAATCAATGACCCCCCGGGGCGGGGCCAATTTTGACCCCAGGGCTTTTATTTGAACAAACTTGGTAGACACCCATTAGAACATGTTTCATGCTAAATATCTTAGCTCTAGCTCTTTGGGTTATTTAAAAGAAGATTTTTTAAGTTTTTACTATATGTTTATAGGGAAAATCAATGACCCCCCGGGGCGGGGCCAATTTTGACCCCAGGGCTTTTATTTGAACAAACTTGGTAGAAACACACTAGAAGATGTTTCATGCCAAATATCTAAGCTCTAGCTCTTATGGTTTTTTAAAAGAAGATATTTAAAGTTTTTTCTTTCGGTTGCCATGGCAACCAGAGTTCTGCATGGAATTAAATTCTTTGAACAATTTTTAAAGGTGACCACCAAAGGAATATTCCTGTGAAGTTTGGATGAAATTGGCTTAGTGGTTTATGAGGAGATGTCATTTAAGTAAAAGTTTACGGACGGACGGACAACGGACGGACGGACGACGGACGGACGCCGGACGAAAAGCGATCACAAAAGCTCACCCTGTCACTTTGTGACAGGTGAGCTAAAAAAGGTAGAAATGGGACATTACTAAGCAATGTTGAATAATAATGTTTTCACATGGTTATCTGCCCTTTCTAAAATTCATTCAGATTTTGATATTGAAAAAGTACTTATATTTAAAAAGAAATACTGTTGATTGTTTTTGAGAAATGGGTCGTAGCAAAACAAAAACATAAGATGGGCAGTAAATGAGGAATGCAAATTTGTTTGAAGGTTCAGATGTATTTTTTTCCCATTAAAATAAAGACTTCTTCATAACTTTATTACTACATACAATTTGGCTAAACTATCATTAACATAACATGTGACCAGATATAAACAAAAATTAAATTTGTTATTCAAGTTGTCAAGCTATCTACTGACTACTGTTTCTCTACTTTTCTAAACAATTTAGTTTTATATTCACTGATATATTTCTGAATCAAGTAGTATTTAGAAAATTTTGTGACATTATGCCAATTCAAGTGTAAATGGCCAGTGAACAAGTCAAAATCAAAAAGACTTAACATTTTTGCCATACTTGTGTTACATTTTATATTACTACAAAAAATAATCAATAATCCACATGACCAACAAGACTGCTGCACTTTTTATAATTACAATTTCTATTGTCTCTTAATCATTTTAAATAATGTTTCTTGCAATCTCCATGGACAACTTATTCTGAGTTACACTATTCTGGAAAGTTGTACTTGTCTTTTAAACCAAGTTTGCAACATGGTTTCTTTAATCAATCCTTTTTCTACTAGATTCCATGGATGATCTTTCCTCAACATAATGAATACACCCAGTCCCTCTCCCAACAACTCCAACACAGCCCAACATCTTCCAACACAGCCCAACATCTCCCATGCAGCCCAACATTTCCCACGCAGCCCAACATCTTCCACACAGGCCAACATTTTGTTCACTGGCTCAGCAATGCACTTCTATTCTTGGTTGACATAATTATCGTCTAAAGAAATTAGTTACAGTTTTTATCCAATCATACTTTCACTCTTTTATAACTGCCTCATCCCATGGTCCATGAATGTTGCTAAAAATAGATACATTTGTCCATGAATGTTACTAAAAATAGATACATTTGTCCATGAATGTTACTAAAAATAGATACATGTACATCATGTACATTTGTCCATGAATGTTACTAAAAATAGATACATTTGTCCATGAATGTTGCTAAAAATAGATACATTTGTCCATGAATGTTACTAAAAATAGATACATTTGTACATGAATGTTGCTAAAAATAGATTTCGAACAAATATCAACAAAATGTTTAATGAAATCAAGTGCTATAAATGTGATAAAAAGTTAGATGTATACAGATTTCCTGTCACTTGCAGTGTCTATTCTAGAAGGGGGGATTCACTCATATTTTTGAGAATTCCCCCCTATTTTTTCAAAGGCAGGGGGGAAATTTTACATAGAGAAAGAAGGAAAAAGATCAACAAATGAATTTTTTTTCTAATTTTTCGCTAAAAATCCCCCCTATTTTTCAAACCCTAGAATAGACATTGCACTTGGAGGCTTAAGAATGTATTCATAATATTATAAAGTCTGGTTAAATTCTGGCTAAACATTTATTTCAAGTCAAGATTTATCATTTCATTTTTAGATATCAATAAGGACTAAAAGTTGGCTATCAAAATGAAAAGTAGCCAAGTATGGTATGAAAAAACATATACAGAGGATACTTGTTCATTTTGAACAAATAGGCTACAAGAAAAGATATGTCACTGAAAAAGTTGCAATGTTTTCAGAGGCACATAGCATGAATTAAAATATGGATATTTTCCCCACTAACAAAAAACAAACAATTACCCTGTAATCATGAAAGGAAGTGTTGTAGAACCAATGATCTTCCATGAATTTCTTGATGATTTTTTTTCACCCTAAAGTACTCAAGCAGGAATGTTTGTTTTGTTAGTCTAATTTTATGTTGATTTCTACACATTTTTTTCATATCTCAGCAGTCAATCTGACTGGCTTTCCAAGATAGCCATACAGTAAATTAGCAATTTGTCAACAAGTGACCCCTAGCTTATCCTGCAAAAAGTAGTTTGTTTATTTGATTTGGTTTTACGTCACACCAACACAGTATAGATCATATGGCCATGTTCCAGCTTTAGTGGTGGAGGAGGACTTTAGGAGCCCTTTCGTGCATTATTTCAGGCATGAATGGGCCCCTGAGTAGAATCACCAACGTTCCGTAAGCTAGCTGGATAGCACAAGTAGTAGTGAAACTCCTATAATAATATTTGTAAAGAAGAGGGAATAAACTCTGATTTATATAATGACAAAAATAAAACTTACTTTTTATATGGTTGAAGGGTAATAAGCCACCATGGACAAACAAATGTGATAAAAACTAATGTTATCAACAACAAGAAAGCTGCTGGCATTGAGATATAGGTCAAGGTCACCAGGGTCAGTAGGGAGAGAATTGCTGTCATGGCAACATGGGATGCTGGGATAGCTTGCTGTAAAAAAAGAAAAAAAATGTTTAAGTTTTATAGGGTGATACATGTAGTTGTTTAAATTTATGCTTCAATATATCTATACCTCAATTAAAACATCCTCTACATATAAAACAAGACCTCCGTTGAGACTGTTAATTTACAAGGCTCATGAGAAAAATATGCCTTCAAGGAAGATAGCAAATTTATCATTGCAAATGACTCAGATTTGACTTTTTCATCAAATGTTAAAGAAAAAATATTGTCTAATTTTTTTTCTAGGTAACAAATTAACATACTAGTCATACAAAATAATTGAACATTATGACTTCATTTCATTTTAATACAAAAGAAATCAATTAAATCAAGGTGGCAGTTAGCTGAATGCATAGAAAATCAAACTTGATATAACATACTTGCATGCCAAATATAAACCAATTTAAACCAATTATTTCAATTGAAAATTAATTTAAAAGGGGATATCTCTATTAAAATAATGAGTTGATTGCTACTTCAAAGTTATGCAGTGAAAAAACACTTAACTCATAATCATTAATGCTGCTAAGAATCACACAAAAAGGTGATTTTCATTTTAATTTGGAGTTTATTTCTTCACTTTTTTTTTGCAAATTGTTTTATTTTAAGTGCGAAGTTTCAACCGAGTCGACCATTCAGTAGTTTTGGTGTTACCAACTTACACTAAATAACTTCAACAAAGTGTGATGGCAGTCAACACAGAGGGCAAGTACAACAGCTGATTAGTTGATTAGCTCTCTCTATCCTTCAAATAGTCAAGCTAAAAAATTTGAAAACTATATATATATGTAATATATAATCATCTTTATACTTTAAAAATAACTAATAAAAGCAGCCTACCCTTAAATTTCTCCTCAAAGCTGGCCAGAGGGCAAACAGTTCCACAGCAAACGTGACGGTAGCAAAGGAATGGTGACTTGTATGGAGACGGGACGCTAAACAAACTGATGCGAACAGACCTGCATTCAGGGACAACACACCAGATACCCTGTAAAAAATTGAGATTCAATAAGTCTATATGAATAGTTTCGCAGCTTTAACAAAGTGCTATAATTTGAAAACTTTTAAGTATCTTTAAGTCATTTAACTACTTTATGTATTGCACAATTATAATAAACAACAACAATAACATAAAATTATTATGAAAAGTGTAACTACTACTATACTTAATTCAATATATGCAGTACCAAATACAATTTTTATTTCTCAATAGCTTTTTATTTTTGGTATCCTGTAAATTTTTCAAAAAGTTACTAATATGCCAATTACCTGTACCATCTTTTGCATCTATTGCTTTTAGCAATAACATGTAGTAAAGTTATAGTGATTTAGTATTTTGTATGAAATTAAAGTACTATGTTGTTTACATTTTCTTATGTTTATGACGAATAATTTTATATGCAGCACTTCTTTCTTCAGGTACATACATGTGAACTCCCACTTTCTGCAGCCATATTTTCAAAGATTTGTCTTAAAATAAGGGGTATTTTCACAAATTACAGAAATCTCCCACTTTTTATATGAGCAAATTCTCCTTTCTTTATTGCAAATTCTAAAATCTCCCTTTTTTTAAGAAAAATCTTCCACTTAATCATCAAAAAAGTTCAGATGTACGCAGGTTATAAGCATGTAACATGCTCTAAAACCATTATTTAAACATTATAAAACTCATGTGTTCTCTTCCTAAAGAATGACAAACTTATTTGTTTTGGAAGCATAATGTGCCTTTACTTCAAACATACAGTTACTAATACATAAAGTAGCTACATACATTTCAGCATCTGCACCGTAGTCATGGAAACAAAGGTTGCCTAGCAACATTACTGTTGTCATGGCGTATATTGTATCTGTTGCTATGGTTTCTGTCAGTGACACCAGCACAGGAGATAAACAATAACTAAACCCGGCAAAAATCATCACAGTTTTCAGGTCAGCCAAAACTGTAGAAAGGAATAACAATATTGAAAATTTCACCTCTATACTAATAGTAGATAAAACAAAAGCATGACATGCAATGTTTTTTTTTAATTCTAAGTTAAATTGTAGTATAACAAAGATTTTTGACGAGTTTCCATATATTCCAAACAACTTTTTATAGGTCATATAACCTGTCAAGAATCTTTGCAACAAATTTATAATATAGCAAACTTCCTTTATTTGAAAGAAAAATGTAATTTCTTAATAATATACAGTTGAATGCTTTGTTTTAATATCTTTGTAATAAAATTCCTTAAAATAACAATGGACTATAGTGCAAATTTAAAAGCACAACAATTCAATACTGCCTGAAAGGTGGGGTGGATCTTTATTGGGCCTGAAAGTCTTTCATTATATTGTATATAGTACAAATTTACAAAAAGATTGATACAGTTTTAGTTATTCTTTGTACTGAAAACCTTTAAACTTACTACTTCCATAACTAAATTTAATATACATATTTCGTAACCTTAGTGCATTTATGAGTTAAATCCTATTAAATCATGTAAAGAGTTAACCTGTAACTACACTAAGGTGACGATTTTTGGGGAAAAGTAAATAAAATAAAAACATTTTGTCCTTCTTTCATGTCAAATAAAGTATTGTTTGCCCATTTCAGTCATTTCTTATTTTTCAGGTAAAAAGTGTTACATTTTTGTATTATTAATAATTTCTTAAACGGGTTTGAATAAAAGTAAAATTTGAAAATTAATGTTCTCACCATTCAAAGATGTGAATAATTTTAGAGAATCACTGAAAAAAAGTTTTCGCAACAAAATATATAAAAAAAAACACATTTGAAAAATACATACAATTGTATTTTTCATATTACTCATAGGGATTATTAAAGATGCTTTGATCTGAAATTATACCCCTACCGCTACCCCCTCCTTCCAGATCCTGTTACAACCCCCAAAAATATGATTTAAAGTCAATTACCACATTTAGCATTCATAACTACAATAATATGACACTATGTGGAAATTGACTTTAAATCAGATTTTTGGGAGTTGTAACAGGGACTGGAGGGAGTGGGGAGGGGGTATTGGTAGGGGATTATATCAGATCAAAGCGTCTTATCCCTGTGGTATTACTTACAAGTTCTGATTGACCTTACATCTCGTTGTAACAAGCAATTAGCCAGGTAACCAATGAAAGTTAATCCACCAGATATATACACCAGTGTCTCTGCTGCCAACACTTTCACATCCATAAAAATAAACACCATCACAAAAATGCATACACTGAAACCATAAAAATAGAGAGAAAAGTGAAGGATATTTTATTAACCTTTTTTTTTAAAGGCTCTCCAGTGTTTTTTTGTTGTTTTTTTTAACATGAAAGGACTTGAAATATTTTTCAAGACTTGTATACCATTTGATGTACATTGAAGGTCTAGACAAAAAAACTTGTGTGCGAAATTTCAAATCATACCACAACTCTATTTTCCAAGAATAATTATTTTTATTTTGCAAAGAGACCAAAAAATTAAAAGCCTATTGTGGCTTTCGAAGGGCAATTAGGGTCTAAATATTCATCAATTTGAAACACATGTATAATGATTTTCTATGTAAATTGCTTACCTACAGAGCTGTTGGGTTACCACACCAGATTCTTTAACAACTTTCCAATATTCATAATTCCGTGTATGTACTGAAATTACAACATACATATGTATCTTCACAATTAAAACTAGATTCATCTGTAGCAAAGCATGCTTGACTTTTGACATTATTGTAAGGTGGCCAGTCACATGACACTCATAACCAGTTGAAATTGTGGTTAAATTTGTTACTATTTTTTTAGAGACAAGTGTGTCAATGTCTTTGATACACTTACATGTATTTATAGAATAGATAAGATAGTTTCTCTTTTTTTTTAAATAACTTTGATGTTTCTGATGTTTATATCAATGGCAGAGTCTGTAACTTTCCTTTCTTGGTACATTTAAGACAAGCGTTTTTTTCCATAATAAAACTGTTGAATGTTCTTTCCTTTGTTTCAGTATCCTGTTTAATACTATTACAAATTTAACTTGAAAACTAGTGCTACATTTCTGAAGACCAAGTAAAATATTATGCAAGGGTTTGTAACCTTTATATGCACATTTTATGAATAAATGAATGGGCAAAATCCAGTTTAAAGTCTGTTGTGAAGCAGTGGAAATTGTTACAATAATGCCATTTCTGTAGCAAACACAAAGAACTTGCAAAACTTAAATCTAAGTTTGATTTAGGCATAATTACTAATGAAAGTTTGGATTTCAATGTTTTCAATGTAAATGTACCTCTGAACCAATGGTGGCTGCTTTGTGCCATTTGTGTTTTGACATTTTAACTTGTTAATTCTCGACTTTTTGCTTGGTGGGGTCGCGGGTTTAATAAATAAAAGTTCACCCCGCGCCCCAACAAATTAGGGTGTTATCGCTCCGCTCCCCAGCCATTTTAACTTGTGAATTATCGACTTTCTGTCTTGGACGCAGGGCGAAAACACACAAATTATTGGGGATGCGGGGCAAAGTTTTATTTTAAAAAAATTGCCCTGCACACCCGCTTATTAGTTTGTTTTCGTCCTGGGCCCCGTCTTTTTATTTCTTAAATCTCGCACTGGGCCCCCATGGGACAAATTCTCATCTATTAAACTTCGTACCGCTTCTAAACTAATTTCCACTGTTTTCCCTCCACGCCCGTCAATTAAACATGTAAATTATCGACTTTTTGTTTTAGCTGGGTCGCAGGGCGAAAACACGAATGGCACATTGAATCAGCCACCATACTATATAAACCAATCACCTTACCCTCTTCTTCTTCTTCAGAGAATTGAAGCCGATATTTTAAAAGTTATTTTAAATGTTTTCCACTGGTAAATGCATCTAATAGGAAATGCATTTTTCCTAAGTGTCTTATTCACACTAGGTTTAAATAATTGAAATATCTTTCTTTGATTCTTTTCTGGCCTTTTCAATAAAGTACATTTCCTTTTCAGATTTACAGTCAAATCGGCCCCAAGTTAGATCGGCCCCAAGTCGAATCGGCCCCAAAATAGTCAAATCGGCCTCAAGTGAAATCGGCCTCAAGTCAGATCGGCCCCATTTTTTTAATTTTCTTTATTCATTTTTAATTTTCTTTTTTTTAAATGCTGCATGCATATTGATAAAAAAACAATTGTGTGGATGGGAATACCAAATGAGAAACCATGGATTACAAAGAAAACAAGAACAAAACATATAATAATCAAATTTATTGTCTGAGTATAACGTTTAACATGTACATCTTCAATGTACTATAAACATATGAAACATGATAAATGTAACTGTATGAGGCATATGAGGTTTTTCACACAGCTAATTTAAAGCAATCAAGTGTGAACAACATGCTACTTGAAACGTCACACTCTTTAATTGGATGGATATCACTATAAATAAGTATTTTTCGGACAAAATAATCATGATAGAACAGAGCATACATACTTTATTTCTGACTGGGGCTTAACACACATCATCACAACGAATATCACAACATACATATACATGTCTATTTATTATAATGCATGCACCAAGAAATCATGTTATAATAAATTCAAACAGTTATACTCACATACATGTAATTATAGAAAAGGTTTTGTTTTTTTTTAATAAAGGGGACAGTTTGAGAATTTACGCTTATATATGATTGCATCTCAATATTTATTTTTTATCAATAAACTATAATTTAAATCAAAAACTACTCTTTAAAAAAGTTGAATTTAGAAATAAAATTTTATTTTTTACTTATTTTGCTATGGCAATTAATTCACCATTATTTTTAAGTATAGGCCTATATAGCTGTTAGTCACAAAAATAACTTTAGGGCCGATTTGACTAGTTTTGAGGCAAATTTGACTAGTTTTGGGGCCGATTTGACTAGTTTAGGGCCGATTTGACTTTTTGAAATTGTTGTGTGGCCGATTTGACTAATTTTTGAGGCCGATTTGACTAATTTTGGGGCCGATTTGACTTGGGGCCGATATGACTTGGGGCCGATTTGACTAGTTTGCTCCTTTTCATGGCAAAATTTGTTTCCATTTACAGTTAGAAGTGTATTAAAATGTCTTACAATTCTTCTTCAGTTCATCTAGGAAAGTATCATCAACATAATGGTCTGGGAACCCTTGGTCCTCGTACAATATTTTTTTCCATTTCTTCATTATGCCATCCACCATCTTTAAGTCATGTGACCACACATAGACTGAGCATGGAAATATAATAATTTTTCTAACATGTACACGCTTTACTTCAACAGAAATGTAATAAGCGTCTAGAGGATAGAACAACTATCTATGCAACCAGTCAATGTGGTTGCTATGACGAGATCCACTTCCGGAAAAATTGTTTACAATATGGCGGTTCTATAATTTGCAAAACATTATTATTATAGGTTTTATTGGCTACTTAGCCGGTACAGCATTAACTGAATTGCTGGAATAAGGTTTGTTATAACAATACTGCAGTATCGTTTAATCTGAAAAGATAAAATATGCCGCCTAAAAAGAAAAAGAGTGGAAAGAAGAAGAAGAGCGGAAAGAAATCAGCGAGAGGATCCCCAACAAAAGTGGGGCCAGATATCAATGAGCTGTCGAAAGAATACTTCCTTATTCAGATTCGGGATCTTGAAAATAGGCTTGCAAGGTTTGAAATATACAAATATTCTGGTCCAAAATATACAAATATTCTGGTCCAATTTGTCTATAAAAGTTGAGTCCATTTTTAACTTTATGCATTTAACAACACCATGCAAATATTTTGAAAGTTTTTCTCCCTATGATGCCAATCATTCTAAAACTTGGCCATTAGTCGATTCAATACGAAATTAGGCAAAGCCAGACATTCCTAGACAGCGCGCATGCTTAGTGTAATCGATTCCGATTTCGAAGCAGTATGAATTTATGATGTAGATTATAAGATAGATAGCCTATGAATGGGGAAGTCGGTTAAAAAAATGGTTCATTTTTCTGATTTAAAGGTGTCATTCTGTATTTCATGCACCCCTTCCGTTTTAACTTGGAACACTACGATTAATTTTAATCTGAAAAGTTGCAATTGTTCCTGTTTTTGGAATACCCTGCCTATTATTATTGAGTTACATTAAAAATGGTGGCGCACAACTAGAACTGACACTGAAAATGTCAATGATAGGTTCAGAATTCTATATATTCTTTTATTGCTTTTTATTTGATTTCCTTTTAAATACATCAGGACTGACAGATATGTAACTTTTCTAAAAATTTACAAGAAATAAATATTTGTCCATTTTTGTAGAAAAACACAAAAGCATATGTGTATCACCCAGAAATAATCAAGAAATCACCCCTATAACATTAATATCTTCAATAAAATGCAAGCTGTGATACTATAATTATTCTAGTAACGTCTAAATCTGTTCTTGTAATTTATAATGATCAATTTTTCCATCGCAGTCAGATGAATTTACATTGATAATTCAATGCAAAAAATGTCTTAAATAGTCATACCCACTACCACCAAGTTTTATGGGAATATATTTTTGGCCCATACTGCAAGATAAATGTGATTGTTTTGTAAAAGGTTCAATCAGTTTTTAGCTCACCTGAGCTTGCTCAGGGTGAGCTTTTAGGATCGGTGAATGTCCGTCGTCCGTCGTCCGTCGTCCGTCGTCCGTCTGGCCGTCCACAATTACTTGTGAACACTCTAGCGGTCGCATTTTTGCCTCAATCATCATCAAACTTGGTCAGGATGCTTATCTAGTTGAAAGCTCGGATGAGTTCGAACATGGGTCATCTCGGATGAAAAACTAGGTCACAAGAGCTAAAAATAGAAAAACCTTGTGAACACTCTAGAGGTCACATTTTTGACCCAATCATCATCAAACTTGGTCAGGATGTTTGTCTAGGTGATAGCTTGGATGAGTTCGAACATGGGTCATCTCGGATGAAAAAGTAGGTCACAGGAGCTATAAATAGAAAAAACCTTGTGAACACTCTAGTGGTCACATTTTTGAACCAATCATCATCAAACTTGGTCAGAATGCTTGTCTAGTCAATTGCTTGGATGAGTTCGAACATGGGTCATCTCTGATGAAAAAACTAGGTCACAGGAGCTAAAAATAGAAAAACCTTGTGAACACTCTAGTGGTCACATTTTTTGACCCAATCATCATCAAACTTTGTCAGGATGCTTGTTTAGATAATAGCTCGGATGAGTTCGAATATGGGTCATCTCGGATGAAAAACTAGGTCACCGGAGCTATAAATAGAAAAAACCTTGTGAACACTCTAGTGGTCACATTTTTGCATCAATCATCATCAAACTTGGTCAGGATGCTTATCTAGTTGATAGCTTGGATGAGTTCGAACATGGGTCATCTCGGATGAAAAAGTAGGTCACCAGAGCTAAAAATAGAAAAACCTTGTTAACACTTTAGCGGTCACATTTTTGCATCAATCATCATCAAACTTGATCAAGATGCTTGTCTAGGTGATAGCTCGGATGAGTTCGAACATGGGTCATCTCGGATGAAAAACTAGGTCACAGGAGCTAAAAATAGAAAAACCTTGTTAACACTCTAGTGGTCACAATTTTGACTCAATTGTCATCAAACTTGGTCAGGAAACTTGTCTAGGTCATTGCTGGGAATAAATCGAACATGGGACATTTCGGATGAAAAAACTAGGTCACAGGAGCTAAAAATAGAAAAAATCTTGTTAACACTCTAGTGGCTACTGTTGTGATCCAAATATTCTGTTAATTGGTCTGAAAGTTTGTTTTGATGATTTCTAAGTCAAGATCGAACATGGGTCATCTTGGATGAAAAAACTAGGTCACACCGCCCAAATATGGGAAAAACCTTGTTAACATTCTAGTGGTCACATTTTCGACTCAATTATCATCAAACTTGGTCAGGATTTGTCTAGGTAATTGCTTGGATGAGTTCGAAATCGCATGTGAAACTAGGTCACCGGAGCTAAATATAGAAAAATCTTGTTAACACTCTAGTTGCTACTGTTTTGATCCAAGTATCCTGGAAATTGGTCTGAAAGTTTGTTTTGATGATTTCTAGGTCAAGTTTGAATATGTGTCACCTGGGTAAAAAACTAGGTCGCACTGCTCAAATATGGATAATCCTTGTTAACACTGTAGTGGTCACATTTTTGACTCACCTGTCATGAGACTTGGTCAGAATGCTTGTCTAGGTAATTGTTTGGATGAGTTTGATAATTCAGGTGAGCGATCTAGGGCCATCATGGCCCTCTTGTTTAAGTTACATTATATTAAGATTCTTTTTAAACTTGCTCTAACAAATGGAAACAAATAACTATCAGTCATCGAATTTAGCACTGGCCCATTGGCCCAATTGGCCAGTGAAAATTAGTTTGGGCCAGTGTAAATTTTCAGAAAATTTAGTTAAATATATAGTAGAATAAATTCAAAACTGGAATTCGATCCAGTAAATTCAAAATCTTAAATTCAATGACTGAACTATGACTTAATTTTGTTGTTATATTTCTATTTGTCAACACAGAGATTTTTCTATTATTGTTTTATACAAAAGCAATTTTCTTATCTCAATTTCTGTTTTGATACAAACAAAATTTACCATTGTAGATATCAAAAGAAGTGTGATGAACTTGAGGTGGCCAATGGACAGTTTCAAGAAAAATTTGAGCAGATGGCCAAAGACAAGAAGGAGATTGTGGCCTTCTGGAAAAAACAAGTGGAACAGAGAAGTATGTTATTAACAAATGTATTTCAACATGCAATTTTAACAATTATGTTCCAAAATATCATATTTATGAGTTTGAATTTAAAAACATTAATAATTTGTAGATCTTTATAATGCCATTTTGAACAATGAAGATAATGCACAAAAAAAAATAGTTTTTGAAAATATGTTTTCCCTTTACAATTTGATTCAGAAAAAGCAAAAATCTCCTGTTCGTAACTTTCTACTGCAGTGCCATAGCCAGTTGGTAATTTATAAATAATTAAAGCAAATTAATGCATGCCATAACTAGTTGATGATTTATGAATTATAACAGCAAATTAATGCATGAAAATAAATGTTTTCTTTACAGCTGATGACATAGCTGACCTCAATGATCGCCTCATTGGTCTTCAACAAGCTAAAGATGCTGAGAAAGAGCAGTACGAGTCTGAACTAGTGAAACTCAGAAATGAGTTCCAAGAAACTAAGGACCAGCTTACCTCGGAAAATATGATCTTAAGTAAGTTTTCTTTTCTCTCTCTTTCTCACATCATTCTTTCAATGAGTGGGCACATTATAGTTTTGAGGTAATACACGCATTTTTACATCTTTTTATAAGTTTGGAGAAAAATGAGTCAGAAAAAAAAATAAGGACTGGTTGGCAATTGTACCTTTGAACAAACAAAGTATTAAATTATGTTTATAAATCAATGCTGTCATAGAAAATAACAGATTTTCAACATTCAGTTTACATGCTACTATTATCAGGACTTATAAAAAATGTGTTATTCATTTAATTTTCTTTTCTGATCAGATGGTAAACTGGCTTCCCTGGAGGAGTTTAAGGTACAGAAGGAGGACCTTATGAACAAATTTGCCATGATGGAAGCGGAGCTAGCACAGAAGGAACAGGAACACAAAGATGAAATATACAGACTAGAGAGAAAACAAGTCATTGATAAAGATATGTAAGTATTGTGCAGAGATCATTTAAAGCTGCATGCCTCCAGATGAGCCAAAATGTTTCAAGAATTTTTTTTAACAAACCTTAAGAAAAATGTACTATGACTGTAAGGAAAGTAAAAATATTCACAATTAATGACTAATTTTGCAGTATATATCACCTTATAATGATATTTCTACTGCGTAGCTTACATTAGTAAAGGCTATTTTTGCATATTTTGTGCTATTTTTGGTAATTTTTTCTTTAAGCTTTAGATATATTTTTGTATGATTACAAAGTACATGTATGTCAGGAATTTGAATAATAAAATACAGTTTTAATAATTTTTTTTCAAAATATGATAATGCAATGAAAGAAGGAGAAAATTTTCACAAGTGTTTTAATTAAAGTATGTTCAGATTGCTGTGCACAATTATAATAAGAATTTGATCATTACTTTATCCCCAGAAATGTTAACTTTGTATGGTTATATTACTGTTTATGTGCCGCAGTTCCAAGAAATGAGCAAGGTTACAAAAAATGTTCAAGAATTTTTTCTGATTTCACTGCTATATGTATAAACCTTATGTCAATCGTACACACTGAAATACAAAAAAATTTTAAAATTTAAAATATTCCCCCTTTTAAAATCCTTTAATATTCAAACAATTTTTTCATTTATCTTTGTCTAACCCCCTAGATTTTTTAACCCAATACTATAGATTAAGAAACAAAATTTTTTTTTGCCATCATCCCAAAAATTTGGTTCAGAGGAAGGAAATCGTCTATTTTTCAATTTTTTGTTTTCCCTTAACTCTGAATTATTCTTAAATTGAATAAAAAAAATTTTCAGGCTCAAGAAAAAAATGGTGAATAGAGTGAATCAGGTAGCTTCGGAGTTCAGGAAAGTTTCAAACAAGCAGATGGCAGAGACGACAAAACGTACAATCAGAGACAATGTTTCTATAAACGCTCAACTAGATAAAATGTCTGATAAAACAACAGAGTTAATTGCGGAGAATGATGAACTACGGAAGAAGAATAAAGAGCAGAGACAAAAGATTGAGATGCTGGAAGAAAATGAAAAAGAAATTCTCAAGAAAAATCACAGTAATCAAAAGGTAAATGCATAATCATTTTTTTGTGCGAAAAAAAAAATGCAGTTGCAAATAAAATATTATAAGTGTAAAAGTCATATGTGACAGTTTGATATAAGACTTATATGCAGAATGAAAACTGTATAATAGAATATATATTTAAAATTTTCATAGTATGAATTTAGAAGATGATAACTGTAAAAAAAAATAAGCAAAAGAATTTGAAAAGCTCATAATCTATTGCATAAATAAAATATCTTTTGTCTAAAAGATAATTGTATTAGAATTTCTGAACTTTCTAATAGCACTTGTAGTACACAAAATAAACCTCCCTGTAATTGTCTTTTAATTCAAATTGAGAAAATTGAATGTTTGAATTCTTATAATTCAAATTATTTACCAAAAGAGACTAAATAATTGTAGAATAATGCGGACGAGTCATGGCCCTTAATTTTGATAGGGGCATAGGTAGTTATATTTATCATCTTTGGACTGTTAACTGATTGAAGATTAGAAATAAAATGGTAAACCATTAAACATCTGATGACTTTAAATTTTCATCATGGTATCCCCATTATTGAATATGGTTAGTTCCAACATAGAAGGTGGAACAAGTTCATTTAAGAAATTCAGTAGGTTAAGGATTCTTTTGTGGTGATTAATGATTCCTTATTCTGTTGTTATCCAGATAATAAAGATGTTAACGGAGAAATGCCGGAACCAGGAAGCTATGATAGAGGAGTTTGAACTGAGGGAACAAGAGTATCAGGAAGTGATGTCAGAGACCGAGATGCTTCGATCACAGACAGAATCTATGAAGTATGTTATAAAAGTTTTTGCCGTGTTCTTTAAAAAAAAAAATAAAGCAACTTTCGTTTACCAGAAATTCAGATGGCTATATTGATACTTTAAAATTTATCTATATAAGATTTCGGCACAAATAGAATAACACTATGTTATAATTGTACAATCAGTATGTTATGATAGTAACAATATACATGTAGTAAACTTGATAATTTCCCTCATTATTATCATCAGCAAAATTCATTCCTGTAATAAAAGATGATTTAACTCACATTTTGCATAATCAAATACAAATGAAATGGTAAAAAAACTTGTATCATACTTGTTGACATATGTAATATGAATTTTAAGTGTGTAAGTCATAACTGCAATGCTTTACCCATACTTTTGTGTTTGAAGTTCCTGAGTTCCTGAATTTGAAGTATGAAAGGGCCGGAATCTTGCAAATATGCCTGAATTACCAAAACTGTTCAAATTTTCTGGAAAAAGAAATCAAGTAAAATAAACTATGTGTTATCTGATTATTAAAATTATGATTTAATACTTTACAGGGAAGAGATTGATCGTATTAACAAAGACAATGACAACCTCGAATTTGAACTGAGAACAGAAACTGATAAAGTAACAACAGAGGTGAAAAATAGGAAGAAACTGGAACGAGTGTTGAAGGATGCTGCAGGGGCTCTTAAAATGGCACTTAGAGTAAGATTAGTTATGAAATTTTCCTGATACTTACTTGTACATAATATTATGAGTATCATTATCAGTGCATTATTTTATAATATAACATGATTTGGTGGTCATGTCAGCAGTAATAAAATTACATAGAGCAGAAATATGTAATACAACAAATAAGTCTTCAACAAAATTGAGCGGACAGATATCAAACAATAACGCATCCACGTTAAATTTCATTTACATTTCAAAGGCATTAAAAAAACAAAACTTCCCATTACTGTCCGAAGTTATAAATATTTAGCAAGTAATAAAGGGTAATTATAAGATTTATAATTGTAATGTCTTTCAAGTCTGATATATTGGTATACATGTATGACGTTTAAATTTGCACAAATATTTGATCGTCAATTTAAAAAATTTTTTTAGAAAGATGATCCCGACACTTATGATGAGAGTGACATGAATGAAGTGGAACGTCGAGACAATATGCTGGAATATCTTCTCATACTTCTCAACAGTGCGGCGGCCATCGGTGTTGGGCCACAGCCTGGTGAGATAGGGAAACAGTTTGTAGTCAGGAAGAAAAGTGCTGGTGAGATGCCAGGAAAACAGGGCATTAGAAAAGGGTATGTTTTCTGTATATTATTTAGTTTATATCAAAATAATTATACAGGTTACGTATCCATATTTACATTTCAGCCTTAAAGTTACATTAAATAAATATGTTAAAATATTTTTGCCGTCGGCCTAAAAACCAAGCATTCTACAGTTTCATTAACCTTTTTAACAGTATCGTTATAAATCTCATCAAATACTGTTCATAAATCAGGATTTTAAATGGAAAACCCCACGGTAACACTAAAGTTCGTACACGAATTTTAACATGCAAATGAGGACTATAATCAGCTCGTGTATGCGCTACGTCACGGAGTTATAGTTGCTATCCGGAACACAGCAAATATAAGATTTCTTGTGCAACACACCTTTTACTGTTTTAAGCTTCACGGTGCACTAGGCCTGTGGTTCAGAAAAAAGAAATCATCTCATAAAAAAAGATTAAATTTGTATCAAAAATATCCGTTACAATGCGGAAATATACCGTTAAATTAGGACTGCTTCTTATAGTCATGTTTGTTGATTTAATATTGATGTACGGATGATCTGAAGGCGGAGTTTCTCATGCAAACAGAAATTGTACTTCCGAATTCGCCACCATGAGGTTGCACATTTGTATGCTCATTAAACTCATTTTGGTTGCCTGGACACCAAAATAAGATCTGGAGTCGATATGAAACCCAATTTATTAATGAAATATCCCTATTTCTTTTTTTTATGAAATTTATTTAATGTAACTTTAAGACTTTTATGAAAAATATCATTTCAGTTGAATCCATAAATGGTGTCTTTCTTAGAATGATACATCTTATCAATAATGAAGTGTCAGGGCTCGCTAAAATTAATTAGTTCCGCCAAAACTAAAGCCAAAAGTAAATAAAGATGTACAATGACAATAGAGCCTTTTTAGCTCACCTGTCACAAAGTGACAGGGTGAGCTTTTGTGATCGCTTTTCGTCCGGCGTCCGTCCGTCGTCCGTCCGTCCGTCGTCCGTCCGTAAACTTTTACTTTAAATGACATCTCCTCATAAACCACTAAGCCAATTTCATCCAAACTTCACAGGAATGTTCCTTGGTGGTTCACCTTTAAAAATTGTTCAAAGAATTTAATTCCATGCAGAACTCTGGTTGCCATGGCAACCGAAAGAAAAAAACTTTAAATATCTTCTTTTTAAAAACCATAAGAGCTAGAGCTTAGATATTTGGCATGAAACATCTTCTAGTGAGTGTCTACCAAGTTTTGTTCAAATAAAAGCCCTGGGGTCAAAATTGGCCCGCCCCGGGGGGGTCATTGATTTTCCCTATATGCATATAGTAAAAACTTAAAAAAAATCTTCTTTTTAAAGAACCCAAAGAGCTAGAGCTAAGATATTTAGCATGAAACATGTTCTAATGGGTGTCTACCAAGTTTGTTCAAATAAAAGCCCTGGGGTCAAATTGGCCCGCCCCGGGGGTCATTGATTTTCCCTATATGCATATAGTAAAAACTTAAAAAATCTTCTTTTAAAAGACTCAAAGAGCTATGGCTAAGATATTGAGCATCAACATGTTCTAATAGGTGTCTACCAAGTTTGTTTAAATAAAAGCCCTGGGGTCAAAAATTGGCCCCGCCCCAGTGGGTCATTGATTTTCCCTATATGCATATAGTAAAAACTTAAAAAATCCTCTTTTAAAGAACCAAAAGAGTTAGAGCTAAGATATTTAGCATGAAAAATGTTCTAATAAGTGTCTACCAAGTTTGTTCAAATAAAAGCCCTGGGGTCAAAATTGGCCCCGCCCCGGGGGGTCATTGATTTTCCCTATATGCATATAGTAAAAACTTAAAAAATCTTCTTTTAAAGAACCAAAAGAGTTAGAGCTAAGATATTTAGAATGAAACATGTTCTAATAAGTGTCTACCAAGTTTGTTCAAATAAAAGCCCTGGGGTCAAAATTGGCCCCGCCCCGGGGGGTCATTGATTTTCCCTATATGCATATAGTAAAAACTTAAAAAATCTTCTTTTAAAGAACTCAAAGAGCTATGGCTAAGATATTTAGCATCAAACATGTTGTAATAGGTGTCTACCAAGTTTGTTCAAATAAAAGCCCTGGGGTCAAAATTGGCACCGCCCCGGGGGGTCATTGATTTTCCTTATATGTGTATAGCAAAAACTTAAAAAATCTTCTTTGAAAAAAACCCAAATAGCTAGAGTTTAGATATTAAGCATGAAACATCTTCTAGTAAGTGTCTACAAAGTTTGTTCAAATAAAAGCCCTGGGGTCAAAACTGGCCCGGCCCCAGGGGTGTCATTGTTTTTAACTAATATGTGTATAGTAAAAACTTAAAAAAAATCTTCTTTTAAAAAGCCCAATGAGCTAGAGCTTAGATGTTTAGCATGAAACATCTTCTTATGGGTGTCTACCAAGTTTGTGCAAATAAAAGCCCTTGGGTTAAATTGGCCCTGGCAACGTTGGGGGGGGGGGGGGGTTGAGGGGGGCCTATATACAGGTGAGCGACCTTCAGGGCCATCATGGCCCTCTTGTTTTAATTTATTTCTGCTTATTTCAAACAAAGCAATATTTCTGTAGAATTTTATTCATGTTTAATGAAAATATCGCTATTGAAATCATTCCTTGTACAATAGCAAAAGGACATAAATGTAAAACCTATTTATACACTTTTATACATGCTTGTATTTCTTGTGCCCTTTAAAATTTAAAACACCAGTTTTACATCATATTATAAGAATCCCATTCTTTCTAAAATTATTTCTATATTTTTTTTGCACCTTTTTATATTTGTTTCAAAACTAGACATTTTATACATTATTAAAGGGAGCTTCCGGTGGTGTCCGGTCCAGGTACTCTTGCTCACTATCAGCTGGGTGACCTTGGTTTGATACCCAGACCCAAACAACCTATACCAACCAGTATGGATAAAATGAGAGTTCTGTCAGCGACTACTCGGCTTGGCGGACTGAGGAAGGTTCTATGTAGATCTGTTGGTGTTCAAACTGTCAGTGCTCCTAAGGTAAAGTAATGTTATTCCATCATAACCCTTGTGCTTCTTGGTAAAGTCAATGTATTTCCGTTAAAACATTTGGTGCTCCTTAGGTAAAGATATACATTTCCGTCAAAATTTCAGTTCTCCTAAGGTAAAGAAATTTAAAATTTCTTCTAAGGTAAAATAATTTGATTTTTTTTTCAAACAGAATGATTGTGCTCTTAAGATAAAATAATGTAGGTCCACAAAACAGCTAAAGATCCAGTCAAACTGTCTATGCTCCTATATATTTATATGTATATATTTTTCATGATTTCTACTTTTGGGAAATTTTCACATTTAGAGAGATTTTTGTTTGAACAAAGCTTTTGTTTATGATTAGCATTCAATATGATGTATGTATGTTTTTTGTTTTGTTTTTTGTTTTCTATTTAGCATACTGTAACACAAGTTTAAATATTCTCTGTATTGGCATTTTTTTAAAATCTGGTTTCAGGCAATGTTCTATGCAGACCAGTTATTAAGCCGGGCACCAGCTTCAACACAGGAAGCAGTTCTTCATGACCTGCAACCACCTGAGCGATCCAGAGCATCCCCATTATTACTAGGACCCATTACTCCGACTAGAAAAATGGCGGGGAAAGTTATGTGATTGCAAAAGACAAATTAAACCTTTACAACACTTTTAAAATACAATGTTTTGGCTGCAGTTACATAAGATGTGAGTATTTGAAGGCACGGAGCCTCATATACATGTATCTGCTAAATAAAATTGGTAAAAAAAAAGAGTTTTTTAGTAGATAAAAGTCAAAGAAAACAGTGATATTTTCTCGGAAGCTGAGCAGATGGTAATATAAGTCATGAAATGTGTTTAACTTAAGAAATGTCTGTTTGAATATAAGTTTTATAGATTCAAGGAAAAAAATTTACACATTGCCAAACTGGTTAAATTGAATATGCAGTTTTGCATTTAAACTGAAAACTGTCACATGCAAAATTTTATTTATTCAAAGATATAAATGTTTGTTTGTATGGATAAAGCATCTGTGATATTTGTTAGAGAAAATTGTGAAAAATCTGTATTTATCTAAACCTATCAGTATCATATGAATGAGAGGTGGAACTACAAAGTCACCTTAGTGCAGAAATGGGTTAAGTCCTTCTATATGTTATAGGAGTTAACCAGTTATTGCACTAAGGTGATCACATATAACATGACTTTTGCCCTTTAACATTGTGAAAAATGGTGTAAACTGCCAATGTAGAGACAGTTTAGTATACACTTTTTTAAAATCTGATGAGATTTTACTGTTGAATGTTTTATTTTACTAAAATAAATCTGGATATTGAAGTTCCCTATACTTTACAGGGTGTGATTCCATATTAGAATCTAAACAAGTATAAAACACGAAAATGTATAAAAAAATATCAGTGTAGATGTAGATACTGACAAGACTTGAGAGTGTTGAAGCATCATTTTTTTAAGTACATTATATTTTGATATTTAAGTTGAACATCCCCAAAAACAAATGCACGAGTATTTCTAAAAGTTCAAAATTCAAGAAGTTAATCATACAAAAGGAACAGAGTAATGGTCAAATAAATACCCTAATTCACAAGTAGCATGATTGTATATGTTTGATTTTGTGACACTCGATGTTTTAAGTAAATCAAATGTTGACTAATGTTATAAGATTTGGTGTATAGAAGAAGAATATGATGCTTGTACAATTTTTGTTCTACTGTAAAATACACATGTCACTTGTTATTTCTATTTTTCACATCTTGTTCTTAAAAAAAGTGCTTTCAATAGCACTCGATAGAGAAAATAATTGTTGGATTTGTAAAAGAGTAAATGAACTATAATCCTTTTTCTTAGAAAAAGAGTTATCGTTCATTTACAGTCAGAAATTCTAAAGAGATAAATGAAAATGTGTTGATATGTTTTAAAATTGTTATAATTTAAAAAAAGAAAGATTCTGTTGTAACTTGCTATGCATCTTTTTTTAAACAGATTTGTGAATTTGACAATTAATACAAAATAATGCACTGTTTCTTATTTTTTCTAAAGAAAATAGAAATTTATAAATTTATCACTCATAGATATAAATAATGAGTTAAACTAAAAAAGTGTTGGAGCACCACAGTAAATACTGTTTTCCGGTATATACCGAACAAGGCACTTGAATGATTAAATGCCAAAATCTCGCCTTTTCACCCAACGGAATAGCTCTTTAAAACATCCAATTCATCTCTTCACACTGATTTATATAAGACGATGAATGAAAAATGTAAGAATCAGTGGAAAAAAAACCCGATATTTGTCTATTTTGTGATCATGATTTCATCAAGCGTCTAGAGGGATTGCTCCAACATTGCATTGAGTTAATTCCATAAATAATTGAGCCGTGTCATGACAAAACCAACATAATGGGTTTATGATCAGCATGGATCCAGACCAGCCTGCGCATCCGCACAGTCTGATCAGGATCCATGCTTTTTGCCATCAGTTTCTTTTCTTGTTATAGGGTTTGTAAGCGAACAGCATGGATCCTGATCAGACTGCGCGGATGCGCAGGCTGGTCTGGATCCATGCTGGTCGCAAACCAATTATGTTGGTTTTGTCATGACGCGGCTCAAATGATTGATAGGTTTGTTACACTGAATGACACAGATTTGTTTACTGTGATATATGAAATTTTTTTTTAAGTAATTTTTAATCATGTAAGATTGCTATTCAAATTCATGTTTCTATTTTTAGTTATTGTCTTATTGTTGTATGATTATTCTTAAAGTATACAGTAATGTATGCTTCAAATAAATAAAGTACAAAAATGACTTGGTTGTTTTTTTTCCATTTTATAATTTTATTATAACATGCTCTTGAATTGGTAAGTTATTAGTGATTTAGGAAATTATTCCTGGAGTAAATGTCATTTCTGGGAAAATGACACCATTGAAATGGAATAAATGTCATTGCAGGAGAAAAATGTAAGCATAGGACTGGATTGAATGTCATTACTGTAAGAAAATGTTACTACAGGACTACAGTTAATGTCATACCTGGGAAAATGTTGTTATTAGACTAGAGAAAATGTCATTACTGAATAAGAATATTACTTCCAGACTTGAGTATATGTCATTCCTGGGGAAATGTTATTATTAGACTGAAATACCAAAGAAAAGGATTTACTGCTTTAAAAAGTTTTTTTTTTCATATGTAAGCAATGGATAAAATTAATACTTTCATCCAATTTCACATGAAATTTTCTCCAAAATAAATTCTGTTACAAACTATAATATCTATTGTTTTTCTTTTTATCATGTAAAGTATAATTATATATAAAGATGTAACTGAATCACTAATATCTGAACACTATAACATTGAAAAAGGAAAATAGAATGCCCTGACATAAAAATGTTTTAAAATCACCAGAAATAAATTGTTCTTAAATCACCATAGAATTAGTTGTCAAGTTTCCATTTCTATGTTTTAAACAAAATATGACAGAATCTACTATTTTCATCACCATGCCACCAAGTTGATTCACTTTTGTTACACATTGACAAAAAATTTTTCCCCCAAGGGGGGTGGTACCCTTTTGGGTTTAAAGGGGTCCCGCCCTTTAACCCCGGGGTTTTTTGATTCGAGCCCTAAAATTCCGGGGGGTTTTATGACCATGTTTATTTTTGGCACCCGTTTCTGGTTGGTTCCAGGGTGTGGGCTCGAAAGTTGGGTTAATTTTTAAAATTGCAAGAATTGTTTTGCAAAACTAACTTTTAAAATTTTGTTTAAACTAAAATTTTTTTACAACCAAAATTGTTTTTAATTTTTTTTGAAAAAAAGCACAAAAATTGGGGAAACCCTGCCTTTTTTTAACATAAAAATTATAATAATATCTAATTCAATCAATTCATTTAAGTCACATCATTGTCTTTAAATGTACTGTCACTAAACTGACTAGAATCGTCACTGTCCTCACTGTCTTCTATTGCACTGAATATCTGTGCACCGGACTGTCCAAATTGGGGTCCAATACGTTTAGGCCGAAAACCCGAACCCATTTTTTTCCCTGGTTTGGTAATTTAAGCCTCCGGTTTTAAATTTTTTGTTCCTTTTTCTTTTTTTTTCGGGGTTTTTTAAAAAATTTTTGGTAATTTAAGGAAAAAAAAAAAATTAAAATAATTTTTAAACCAAAGGTTTTTTTTTCCGGAAAACCCTGGTTTTCCTTTTCAAAAATTTTTCAAAATTTTTAACCTCCGGAAGGTTTTTTAGCTTCCCAAAATTTATGAAAAAGGGGGGTTTTTTAAAAAACCATTTTTGGGGGAAAATTCAAAGATTTATTTAATTAAAAAAAGGGGAAGAAAAAAAAAACTTTTTTTCTGAAGGTTTAAATTTCCATTTTTGAATGAAAACAAAAAAATTTTAAAAAAAAAAGGTGGGGGGAAAAAAAAAAATTTTGTTTTTAAATTTTTTTTAAAAAAAAAAAAAATTTAAAAATTTTTTGCTTAACATGCAGTTTAGGGTAGCAATACCTGTAAACTACTAACATAAAATGTTTCAACATTTTTCTATGCCTCCAGATAAGTGGTGCCAAAATATTTCAAGAAAATCAAACTGTATTTCCACTTTGTGATTAACACAGTAAAAACTAATTTTGCATATTTACTTTTTGGTAATTTGCTTGAATTATAATTGTTGTTTGCAATGTGAAAATGCAATTCTTTGTTTACTTCACAATTATATGATTGTCTTTTTTAAATACATTTTCAAAATTTTCATGAAAATTAGCATGAATCTTGAGGCATGCTGCTTTAATCTACACTGGGAATGTTCAAGAGGCATGCTCCTTTGAAGAATTCACAAAGGGGCAGATAGGTGCATTTAAACTGTAGGTTATTATTTCATAAAAAAAGTTAATGCAAATTTCACAGCTTAAACCAGTAGAGGATTAATAACTATTAACACAACCTCTGAACCTTGCTTACAGTTTATGGCCTCTGTTTCGGTGATATAAAGTATTATTTTTCACTGTGTTTGAGTGCAAAGAGACTCAAACTCGAATCCAACAAAGAGCCAGATTTTTTTTTTCAAATGCAAATGCATCTTTGTGTTACAATTTCAAAATGTTTATAATACAATACAGATGTACTTACATCAGTTTTAAATGACTGAATAACAGATTTCACTCCATTATGTCCCCTGAAATTAGAAAAAAAAAGTTTTAACTTCGAATGTTAAGAATAATTCTTTTAAATAACTTTGTTACGTACTAAATTATTTTTAAATCTAAACTACAAAAATAAACTGCTATACCACTAAATTGAGAAGTTATTTCCTGTAATTATCAAATATTTATTAGAAATGCACAGAGTTGTTCCCCTTGCATTATATATGAAATTCATTACATATAGAGTTTTTCCCCTTATATAATCATGTAGAAACAGTAACATTTCATTTAATTTCATGCTTTCCAGTGTTTTATTGTAAATATCAGATGATTATATTCTGATAAACCACTAGTGAAATTTATAAAATATAATTTACTGTAGCCGGACTATATCTGAATGCAGATGAAAAGAAAATCATTACTAAATGGAATAACAGGCAGAAATAAATGTCGTCATACCTAAATTTTGCTTCTTTAGGAAAAGAAAGTCGTTGTAACCATACATCATGTTAAAAATGTAACAAAATTAGAGAAATTTAACAGAACTATATTTCAAAATTGATGATGTGATGACGTCACAAAGGAGAATGCGCGACATAACACGGCAAAATCAGTAAAAAATACTTAAAATCACTTAAAAAGCATGAAATAAAAAGAAAATTTATTTGTTTTACATATAAGATTGAAATATATTTTATTCGTGAACACCAGCTATTCTATTTTCAATCGTGGCTACGCCACTCGTGAAAATATTGCATCTGGTGTTCACTCAGTGAAATTATATTTCAATCTTACATGCAAAACAAACAAATATCCTCTATATAATTATTCCTAATATCATCAAGTACATGTACTAATTATAAATATAGAATCACCTCCCTTGCATTATCCACTATTTAATTTAAAGACATAATGTAATAATGACATAATGCTTTACCCTCCTAATAATTATAATTTGTAACCTTAGTGCAATAACTGAATAACTCATATTAAATTTAGAAGGACTTAACCTGTTAATTACTGCACTAATGTAACAATATTATCTGCAATGTAATAAATACCTCTCATAAATAGTCGGTTAAACCCCTTGAATAATCCATTATCTAATAAATACATGGACAGGGCCTATTTCAGGAATTTTTGGGAAATGCCCTTAGCATTAATTGGGAAAAGAAAAATATTAAACATTGTTGGAAATTTGAGAAATTTTAAATGTGGAAAACTACCTAATACATGACTTGTTGTAAGTTTTTATTAAAATGTGTTTAATATATAATAACATGTCACTTTTTTTTAAGAACCATGAAAACAGTTCAATTTTTCTCCAAAGTTTAAACAGCTTCATATTTTTGGAGTGCTGGGTTGGGAGTTTTTTTTATGGAAAAAAAAACATTTTGGATTGGAGAATGCATTCTTATTTCTGGTGATGGACAAGGGCGTTTTCTAAAGTATCATAAAAAAAGCCTAAATCTTGTGGTATGCAGCTTCAAAGCTTTTATCATATATGTTACTTGATACATTAAAAAGACACTAAACAATACTATACTAAACAAATATTTATAAACATATACCGGTATATGAATAAAAAAAATCAAACCACAAAAGAGTGGCATAAACTCACAAAGGACTTCCGTCTTCCTTTATTGTAACTTTGCCAACCTTTTTTTGAAGGTCATCATGCACAATGAATATGTTTGATACTGGCACATTATGTTTTTTAGCTGAAATAAACAGAACAAATTTTAATTTCAAGAGTAACCATTAAATTTCTTCAAAACTTAAGCACCCAGAATTAGGACACAGTTTTACTAATATAATTTACATGTAGATACAAGCTTTCATAACACTTTACTGATAGTCATGAATCTTTTGTTATATTTTCATGAAATTTTTTATGATTTCACTGAAGAATCACATTTTCTTACAATTTCAATAGGTAACAAATATAATTATTATATATTCAAAACAAAATCACTCAGCACAATGTTAAATTTAATATCCAGTCAGTGCCAAGCTGTTGTTTTCTTGGGCATAATTTCTAGTAAAATGTTTCCATAAGCAAAAACTAAAAATGTAATCTGCATTTATAATCTGTTTGGCATAAAATTTACAAAGTGTACATTTGAATTGTTTTTGTACATTTTCAGCTACTGAAAATTAAATTATCAATACTGGTATGAGATCACATGTTAAACAGTATCAAGATACAAGCAGGGTTCATATAAAGGAATTTCTTGCTATCAGACTTGAAACTGACCATTACAGACATGGTTATGTGATATTGTTATATAAAATGTAGATGACTTCTAACACAGTTTGGACTCAGTAACCTCTTAAATATTTTCAATATAACAGAACTGTAGATGATTTACTTACTACATGTAAATGAAAGTTGATATTATGTAGACTTACCTGTTTTATAAACACTTGGTCCATTTATATTCATGGGCTGTTTTGGTTTCAGTAGCACAAGATTTATATGTTTCAATTCTTTTTCTCCAACAAAGCCAACACAGTCTCGATTCTTTGTAAAATTCATGTCAAGAAATTTAGCAAGCCTATTGACAAACTGCATTCCTACACTGTGCCTTGTCCCCGGATAGTCATGGTTTCCAAGACCTGCTATCTGTTTGAACAAAAGTTTGATAAATAATGAATGATTCCTGAATACTGTATTCAACTTACGTAAACTGAGAATATCTTTACATAAGATGTAATGGGACCAATTTCCTCAGCTCAGCAAAGATCTAGGCTTGATTGGGCAGATATCAGCACAGATTGATCACTGACCAATGAAAATCCTGCATAAGATTTGAGACAGAGCTCAGAAAAATCTTTTCATAACCTTGAGGATATGAAGCGAGTTTTACCTGACTTTCTTACCAGTACAACTTTAAGGTACGTGGGAAGCACTGAAAGTGTTACCAAGGATCAAACCTGTGACCTTAGGAGCACAGGTGGCAGTATATCAGTTTGGACACCCTACCCCTCAGGAATGATAATCAGTGGTGTAACTAACATCATAGGAATGTTTATATATTTAATTACCTTTATATTTACGCAGGAGCCTATATATCTTTTTTTGTGAAAACACTAGTAGACTTTTATATCCACTGTTATTAATATTAAAGTAATAGTTATACAAATCTAAAAGTAAAACTTAAAAACAAATTTAATCATGTATGAATTGTCAATTTATTCTTCTGGCCTTCAACGTTCTATAATCACTAAACAAAACTTCAATTTTAAGTCAAGAAGTCATTAAAAAAAATGATCTTACCATGAACGTTTCTTTTTTGTTTCCTTCCATTGTATAATTCCTGATTTGTTGTGAAAAAGTTTGACAGTTGAAACAGTTGCAGTGCTGTAGGTCATTCCTAAAACTCAAATTTCTTAATAAACTTTCTTTTAATCTGTAATTTTTGGAATAAAAATAACGTATCTGACCCACAGTTGTCGTGTTTCTAAATATAATAACTGATTTCATCTTATATAAACGTGAGGAGACAGTAACTCATGATATTATTGTGAAATTGTCTGTCAAACGTGCAATGTATGGAAATCCTGTAATGTGCTAAAAATATCACCGGATGTACTTCTCTAATGTATCTGATTGGTTAAGAATTTTGGGGAAAACCACTAGTTTATAAATAGTTATATACATGCAGATAAACTGTCATGGCGGCTACAGGTGTTCTGACAGGGAGAGTGGCACTAATAACAGGTAATATTATACTTGGAAGCATTAGATCGTTTTGAATTTTATGAATTAAGTATAGTGTTATGCTTATTTTATCAGAATATTACATTTTTTGTAGTTGTCAGTTGGTTTTAAGTCCAAATTTTTAGAAAATGTTGAAGTTAAGAATGGACTTTGAACTCACTAAAATTTAAAAAAAAAAGACATTTTAAAAGACATATGATTGTATGCTCCTATTGCATTTATAAACTTCTTTGTAAAGTTGAGGGTTTTAGCTCATTAAGAGACCAATATTTCGTTGCAGGTGCTGGTAGTGGCATTGGACGTGCAGTTTGTCAACTGTTTGCCAAGGAGGGAGCTGCAATTGCTGCTGTAGATTTAAGTAAAGATGCTGCACTTCAAACAATACAAGATCTTCCTACAGGTTTGAATATTTGATGTGTCACATCATAAGTGAACTATGAAATTTTGTAAGATATTCATTATAATGCTCTATATCATATTGCAGCATATAAGGCAGCGTTCATTTAGCATTTGCAGTTAATGAGCGATTTTTATGATTATATATTATTTATTTTATTAAGTCTGACCATGCTATTCTCCAACATCAACATCATCACCATCATCATCATCATCTTCTAACAATCTAACAATCAATTGCTGATTATGACTGAATCACCCTTTAAGTCAGAATTGTAATTTACAGATACAGTTAAAAGGATTGGACCATAGACAAAAAGTTTTACTTGTCATTTCCTTTTAAGCGACCTTTTTATGTTATGTACATGAGTGCATAGGACAGTTATTGGTATTAAAGCTAATTCAACCTTATAAGCATGGAAAGAAATTATTATACTTATTATTTAATTTATATCATCATTAGAAATTTTATGTTATGACAACACATTTGGAACAATCTGTTTTTTTGTAACCTATAGCACCAGCATTAAGTCACCATGCGTACTGTGCCGATGTCTCTGCTAGTGGATCTGTCAGTGACCTCTTACAAAATGTGCAAGCATCATTTAATTCCCTACCAACAGTCGCTGTCAACTCAGCGGGGATCACTAAGGACACCATGATGTTAAAGATGTCCGAAGAACAATGGGATAAGGTCATCAATGTCAATCTAAAGGTTTAAAGAATATTATTCTATTGTATTCTTTAAATACTGTCCAGTAACAAATCATTTTCTGATATTAAAAGTAATTAGGTTAATAGGATAATAGAAGAAATTAAATGTAATTTGATTGTGTAGAAAGCTTTAAGCCTATAATAGACACACTTTTAGATCAGTATTTTGAATCAACCATTACTATGCAATGAGTGTAAAGTTTCTTGCTTGAGGCAACAACAACTTGCTCCTGAGGAGGTTTAAACCTGCATAGCCAGCAATCCCCACATTATTACATGTAGTCCTATGTGTTAACCACTGGGCCATGTTGCCAGTATTACTCAAACCCTTGTACATTTTGTATTTTTATTATTAGTTGGGTTTTAAGTCACAACAATGCTATTGGTGGACATATAATGACTTTTCAACCTTGCTAGTGGATGAATACTCTGTGCATTATTTTAAGCTTTTTAGTAGAACCATCATCCTTCCATAAGGTAGCTTGATAGCTTGGTTGTGTGACAGATCCCAAGTCTCTGGCAGGATTTGAACCCAAAGCAGTGAGCGGCAAATATTTTTAAGTCAGTACCCATTTTGCCATTGAGGTCCTTTATTAATTAGGAAAAGGGTTTTACATGTATTTGGAAAGGTAAAGTATTGATTTCATACAGGTTGTCTGTCTCAAGAGGCTAAAGAAGTTGTATTTATAGTTATATTTCTTGAAAGAAATCTTTATAACTAATCAATAGATTCTGTAAACAAATGTATTATGGAAGATTCTGTAAACAAATGTATTATGGAAGATTCTGTAAACAAATGTATTATGGAAGATTCTGTAAACAAATGTATTATAGAAGATTCTGTAAACAAATGTATTATAGAAGATTCTGTAAATAAATGTATTATGGAAGATTCTGTAAACAAATGTATTATGGAAGATACTGTAAACAAAATATATGATTAAAGATTCTTTAAATTTATGATACAAGATTCTTTAAACAAATGTATTATTAGAGAATTGTACATGCATGTTTTCTGAGAATTATGGTTTTATTTAACAACAGTTAGAATCTTGTTCAAGTTCTGCTAAAGATCACTTTTGAACAAAACAAAACAACATATTAATACTATTATTGCCTCTGTCACATTCTGTTAACTACAGATGACTGTATAATGAAGACAAGATTTTAAAAGTTGTGGCTATCAAAAACTATTTTATATACAGGCTGACATTATAGCAAAATGATCAAATTCAAGCTTGGAACAAAGAAAATAAATCAGACCCCATTGGTCACTGATTAAAACATAAACTATTATAATTTATTCTTTCGACTTTTAATGTGCTTTCTTATTATTATTTTTCAGGGGACATTCCTGGTTAATCAGGCATTAAGTAGAGCCCTGGTGTCAGCAGGAATTAAACCAGCATCTATAGTCAACATTTCTAGTATCTCCGGAAAGGTTCGATAATTTTAGCACTTACGCTTACCGGGTATACTTAAAATCTTTACTGATGTTAAGTCAGCACCTATTATAAGCAGTGGAGTATTTATTAATATAATGTTTTTTATATAATGGTACAATTTACCTATTCTCACAAGATAGGCCCAAGTTTGAAATTTGAGTGTCTCTTAACGAAAGTTAAAACATATACACTTATACAGTTGAGTTTTGTTATTTTTTCAACATTACATGGTTCCTACCTTTAACTCATATACACAATAGATGTAAGAAACTGGTATTTAGAAAAAGAAACAAACAAATAATATCAATTTAAAAGAAAAATACGCTGTCTCCGTAAAGGGTTACATGATTCAACACATAAGTGCTGCATCATTTTGTCAAAACTGAACATATTTTTTTTATTTTTTGTTTGATGATATATTGAAGTTTGACATTTAAAATAAATTCTGAGTAAAGCTCTTTGCATTTTTCGTTTTAAAACAAAACTTTCTTGTCTCCAAACCCAATGTAATCTACGTTACTTAGTTTGCGAACAAAAAAGCACAGGCAATAAACACATTAAAAGGTGTTTAAACAGATGTTAATACTAACAAAACATAGTATAAACGAAATGCAATACAATGATTAACTTATTTCATAAAAAAAGTTTACACCAGAAACACAAACTTAATATTTGTAAAGTAAAGTTAAGACTGTAATCTACGTTACTGCTATTACTCAAATATTGTAGCTTAGGGTGCTCTTTACAGACTATTATCAATTAGAATAGACTTGTTAAACATTCAATACTTTATATTTTGTAAAAGTTAATTGTTTGTAAAAAAAATTCATGCTCGTGACAATAAAGATGTAATCTACGAGATGTAATCAACGTTACCACGGTTTTTCAATTTCGGCAAATAATTTGATTTTCATGTCCGAGATAATGTTAAACTGTTTCAAGGTTCCGTAATATAACCTTCTAGATCAATATACACATAGTTTGTTTCCCTTTATTTCAAATTTGCCACTTATTCCGCCATTTGCATTTGCAATTTCCGCACAGAAACACTATATTACTGAGTTCCAGTTATCTTCAGCAAAACAAAACAGGGTAAGTAATAAAAATGTTGTTTTTTATATACATCCTTATTTCTAATAAAATTGATCTGATGCATTTATAAATTCAAACATAAATTGCAAATATTAGTTACATAGCCCACTAAGTTTGTTACAAATCTTTTTCTTTCTTAATCTCCATTTTTGCTTACCAAAATATTTTGTTCATAAATTTTTATCATAACAGATCTACACAGATAAATGTATGTTATCTGTGTTATACCAGATCATCTAAGATTTTATAAAGGTGTAACAAATGTGATACCAAAGTTGGTAACGTAGATTACAAAAATATCGACTTGTGATATCTGCAACACCAATAAGTAGTTCTTCATCAAATATTTGACATGTTCCTATACTGTGGATCATAATATAGTAGTAAAATGTAATAAAACTACTTGTTCCTGGAGGAAAAACTGATATTTAGGCATAAATAAATAGTTTCTAAAAATGGTAACGTTGATTACAAAATAAGTAACGTAGATTACTTTTTTTTCGTTTCAGCAAGTATGGGTATAGCCTAGGCTGAAATACAGCAAGCCTTTTGTGGGAGATAAAAAAGTCATCTTAAGGAGAAAAATACCTTGAAAGAGAGCAAAATAACAAAATCATACTAAGCTACGACAGTGAAAATAAAAAAAGGTCCTTTAGCGACCAAAGATAAAGTATCCAGAAATTGACACAGAATGAAAGAGCTTGAGCATCAAATACAAGTTAATAAATTAATTGGCCTTGTTGTGTTCAAGATGAAGACAAAATAATTGTCAATGATGAAAATGGTGTGAGTTCAAGCACCAGCAAACAGGAAAATAGTTGTTAAGCATATTGGTACCTTGAACTGATTGAGGAGTTGACGATTTTCTTGTTTCATACTAGCAAAAACTTAAATGCAAAGAGGTCAAAGCACCAACTTTCAAATGGTCAAACAAATGACAACAATATTTGTGTCAATTTTAAAGATGTTTTTCTATGCATAGATGAGTCATCCAAAGTTAGTTGTTGTGGGCAAAAGAGGACGAGATTAGATTCATTTAAAGCGGCCTCCAGCTTTCATATTCTGTTCCAAAAATATTTTTAGTTTCTAATTAAGTATTTCATTTATTTAATCTTACAAAAGTGCAACATATCACTGTAAGAACTCCTTTAAAACAGTGTCTAAAGATTGAATTTTAAAGAACACCGGTGATGTTCGGTTCTAAAAATAAGAAAATCAGAAAAAGAATTGCACGCTTTACTTATTTACAAATAGATAGCAGACAGGTAATTTAGATGTATCGATGAGTTTCATTATTGTTTCTGTATTTAAATGATGGCAAGTATGATTTTCCACCATTTTTTTTATTTGACTTTTATATTGAAACATATAAAATCTTCATAAAAACTGAAGGCCACGTTACTTTAAAGAAATGGTTCAATGTTTCTAACAAAGCCTTTTTTTTTTTTGTTGTTTTTTTTTTTTGTTGTTTTTTTTGTTGGTTTTTTTTTTTAAATAAACATCATGTTTAAGAGTAAAAAATATTTTCTTATGCATTTGACCAGACTTTTCCATTTCAATTTAAGAATCTATTGATTTTCTTTTGCAATATCTCGGACATCAACATTTTATTGTTGAACATGTTGAAACAAAAATTAACATCCTTGAATATGAGGTAATCTACGTTACCATCACTGGTCAATTATTTTATTTTGTTCATTTGTTATTTTTGGTATTAAAGTAACATTTTAAAATCCAGTCATAGTCTTTGTTATATTATATATATATATGATAAAAAGATATAACTTAATGGCATCCACGAGGTACTTTGCGTCCTTAAGTTATTAGTTTTTTAAAGAAATTGATAAATGAATATGTTTGAGCATAAACCTTTCATTATAATATCTCAGTCGACTAACTTGTTACTGATAATTACATCTAAGATGCATTAAAAGCCAAAAATGAAACATAGATGTCATTTTATTTTTAATTTCAAAGTTTATGCTGTTGCCCAGTTACAGCTGCATACTTTGTAATTTACGTTACCATTTCATAGTTTTGTTTGTATTGGCGTATGCTGCATATAAAATATATTTTGAAGTGAAATACTGTTGTATCTTAATATTTTGTGCTTATATTTCGTATTAAAATCAACAAAATAAGTACAACTATGAGTTTGTTTGTGTAGCTATTTTTACTGATGAACATATTTTCCAGAAATACTCAACCCAAAATAAATGAGAAAGTTAAAGCTTGGTGTACGGTTTTATAAAGACCTGTGTATAAAATATGTAATGTTACTTTGACAAATTATTTATCGAAGTGACTATTTGTATCAAATGCATTGATAGTATATATCAAAATAAATTTGATATGACCATCGATTTATTTTTAGTTAAGGTAACGTAAATTACATTTTGAAAAAGTACTCAATTTGTTTCAGTGACTGTTCTACAGATAATAATCAAGTTTGAGTGATGAAACTTTCCCAGTATGTCGGACACATATTTGTATAAACGTCTATATCATAAAACTTTGGTAAAAAACAAGTTCAATTTTTAACATTTGGTCAATGCAAGTTGGGCCTATCTTGTGAGAATAGGTGAATTGCATAAGACAATATAAATATAAAAATTATATTTGATAATTATTTAGATTTTTAATTGTTATAACATTGACAAATGATTGCTGAATTTTTGGAATAAATGCATTTGAATTACTTTATAAGTAAACATTTTTTAAGAATTTAAAATTTAAGAATTTAAAATGATAACATTTCTGAGGCATAATGGGCCATTACAGATATCTTACCTTAAAGGGACTCAACTGAGGTTTTTCTGACATGAACAGACTGGAAATAAATTTTTGAGATTAATGTACCATTTGATGTAGGTCAGAAGACCAATAACTTGTTTGCAAAGTTTTAGATCATTCGCTCACTCCATTTTTCAATTAAAATTATTCTAATTGTGTAAAATGACAAAAATTGAAAGGTGTTACAATGCTTCTCACTCAAATCAGGCTAAGAATTGCTCAAAATTATGATTTTCAGTTTATTTCTAAGTATATGTTTTCATTTTGCATATCTTTCTGTTTTAAGTGCCAAAGCTGATCTATGTAAGAAATTCAAATTTTATAATTTTAGGTTTTTCGATCTTTGTGGAGTTCCTTTAAGTAAATAAATTTAGTTAACTTTTTTATATATTCACTATTTTTAATATTGAAACTACATTCAGATGAATTACCATGGATCTAGAGTTTGCTTCTTTTAAGGGGTATAAAGCTATGATTATCTTATGATGTAATTCCATAAAATTAATCAACAGTAAAATCATATTGTTCCCATAATCTTAAATTACAGTCAATTCTCGAAAGAGTTGTAACATGTTATAAGAATGTCTCGGTTATTTTACACAGTGAATATTGTATTTAATTAAACAGATTAAAACGTTCCAGAACAAAGTATTGTGTTACTATTATAAGTTTGGTTTTTATCTGTCTTAAAGCAACGATTTGCACTTGAGCCATTTGTTTTTAATGCAATTTATTACCATATTTCGTTCATACAAGCATTTTAGAAGCATATTTTGTTTTGAAATTCAAGCAATAATATTTGCAGCAGATACAATATAGCTTTATACACTTTGAAGAGTTCATATTTAAGTGTTATGTGTTCATATATTGAATGTAGAGAACAACATGTTTGTGTAAAAATTACATGTATATATTTCAGTCAGGTAACCGGGGCCAAGCTAATTATGCCGCCTCTAAGGCTGGTGTTATTGGATTAACAAAAACTGCTGCCATGGAACTTGGAGGGTAATTTTACAAGATTTTGTTTTTTGTATGTGTGCATTATATTATGACATGTCAGTCTGGAATTTCTAGTGTTTGCTTGCAAATGAGACAAATCATTACTTCAATGTCTATTTTTAGATCTACCTATTACTTCCTGAAATAATAATATATACGAGGGTTGTCCCAATATTCTGTGACAAGATTATTTAAAAGCTAAATAAAACGGGTACGAATTTGATATTTTAATATGTTATAAACCCATATAATTTAAACATTTTCACAAATATTTATAGATAAATATCAACAAACAACAAAAATATGCCAAAAACACCATGGCAACTAACTGAATCGCGGCGCACGTCCAACGTCAAAGACAGCGTTAAATCTATATAAGGCGCCTTTCTCAAATACTCTCAATGGCTTTCAACGCAATAATGGTACCCATAAATCGTCAATTTCTGATTTAAATCATGTTGTTGTTAATGTTTGTTGAATGTTTGGATGGCATACATTAATTTTTGCTATACGCGAACTTCCGGTCGCGTTACTCCTGTTTTTAGCTGTAAGAAATAGGCGACGAAGATCGGTCTTCCTATACGTGTTTTCCTAATTTCGCTTTTTGTAACGCAAAACTCTGGTTTCGTTCATGCCTTTTGTACACAAATGCTCAGAATATGTTGCTAAACTGTTATATTTGGTATATTTGTTGAAAATCGTTACATGTGTCATCTCGAAATAGTCATGAAACCTGAGTGACATGTTCACTGCGCCGCTAATTCTTCGAACGTCGCCATTTTAACTTTCCTATTTTATATGAGATATTTTCATTTATTCGTATCTTTTTCGTTTTTTAAGTTATTTAACTAAAATTTTCAGAGATGATTTAAACATAGCAGCAGAGGGAGTCAACGTGATATTTAGCAGATATTTGAGTTATACGTAATTAATTTCAGCCTATTCATAACAAACTGTAAATTATTTGACGTGCGCCGGCAACTCTAACCAATGTCGTTAATACTGAAAATTTCTAAGTAACTAGGGTAAATTTTTTTTGTAAATGATATGTTGTAATGTTAAATAATAAACTTAACGGTTATATGTGTGAATTATTTTCTATTGGCGTTAAAAATGAACCGGCTATAAAATTTATCACGGACTTTTGGGACAACCCTCGTACAATATAGCAATTTTTTTCTGTATCTGTAGAGATGAATATTTTATCATTTATAAATGGTTATTTATCATATACCCCTGCTGATTTTGGGACTCAGTAAAAATGGTATTGCATGGCCGTGCATATATTTTGATGTGACATCATTTAACTTTAAAAGAGGTGCTAAATGTTAGCGTTTGACTGTAGGCGCATTAATGAAAAATGATTCTTTTGCGCTCTTAAACAGTCTTTATTTTGTGTATGTGATAAATAGAATATTATATACTTGTAGGTTCATTGCTGAATTTATTGAACTTGTTGAATAAAATAATATTTTGCTCACCAGAGGCTAGCATAATATAATTTTATTCATCTGTTCAATAAATTCAGTATTTAACCTATACTCATTCAATATCCTCTATTGTTTTTAGACATGGTATACGAGTGAATGCTGTTTTACCAGGATTCACTATAACTCCCATGACAGATGTAGTCCCAGATAAAGTTAAACAATTAGTAACAGCAATGATTCCACTTGGCAGAATGGGAAATCCAGAAGGTATGTACTTGTCAGTTTTAAAAATAAACTTTACCAGTCTAAATGTCCTGTATTTTGATTGGCTAATTTAAAGTAAAAATTTGAAATTAACCAATGAAATTGAGTATTTGATAGACTGGTTTACTACCACTATGTCTTAGTATAGATTACATGTATAGTCTGAAAAATGATTAAATCAGCCAGCAGGACAGAGCCTAGTCAGATTTTACGCATGTATTTAGTATTATCAGCAAGATAAGATGGGGGATATTTTATAAATTTTCAAAAAAGTCTTTATCTTCTTTTAGCATATGATATTGATCAGAAAGGTTTCATTTTTTTTAAGCTTTTAATATGGAATGTGTTTGGCTAATGAATTCTAGTGCTAACGTGAGGTAGTGCTTTGCACATGAACCAGGTCTCTAGGTCAAAGGTCAAGGTCACACTTAGATCTTTTTGAAAAATGCTTGTCCAAAGCAAAACTTCTACATGCATCAAGGGATTTTTTTCTAACTTGGGACAAATTTTCATCATTGTGAGGGTGAGTGAAGGCCATAAAATTCAGGTCCCTGCTACCAAGGTCAAGGTCATACATAGAGGTACATGTAAAATTTCAGATAAAAATACAAAAATATGTACAGGGACCATCTTGCTTGCCACACTTGTAGCCCACATCTCCACCTAAAGCGTTTGTGACGGTTGTCTTTTTGTGACAATGTCACCGTGTTAAAGTTTCAGATAATTTTATATTCTCTTCAGAAATCGCTGAAGCTTGTCTGTTCCTCGCATCAGAAAGAAGTAGTTACGTTACTGGTTGTGCCCTTGAAGTTACAGGTAAATACTTTTGTGTGTTTTGTGGTGCATTATTATTTTTAGATTTGCCCTTTTCTGTACATGTATGTCTATCATGCTCTCTGCCCCTAGACTGACTAAACTGATATGTAAGGGCATCCTTGTTCTATGAACACATTTCTTGCAAATGCTTGTAAAATCTTTTATAAGTACATATACTCGTATTGTATATAATCTTTATTTTAGTTTATCAAAATTGATTTAAACAGGGCTTTGTTATGGATATGTTTAATTCAAGGGCATGATGCTAAGTTTAAACTCCTAATCAATTGAGTCCAGAAATGAATTAAAATTAGCATGATTGTTTCATTGAACCCTTAATTAAAAAATATAAAATAACCCTCAAAACTTAAGACTGTGAGACAGACTTTTTAGATAATTACTGCAATTACATATATTGTTACGAGGATTCTGGGCATGAGATCTGGTGATAAATTAATGTATTTTCTTATTTTATCTTATAAATTTACTTTTCTTTTGTTTATTTGCATAATGTTTTACAAAAGTTTTATAAAATGCATATGAAACGTAATATTATATATCATGGCTAAATTTATATATTTCTTCAAAATTCTGGAATCCAAAGGTTTTTTGGAATCATTGGAGCATCTTTTAAAAGACATAGAGCTGAACCGTTTATATGTATATATATTTTCAGGTGGTCTGTTTGCTTAAGGCTGTATTTCAGGGTTGTGTACAACCAAAAACCTGGTGACCTGGTGCTAGAGCTGTTACCAAATTATCAAAATAGACTATTTATACTAAATGTACTTATATATTTTCTTGTAATATATTTTCCTGTCATTTTTATAGTTTATATATTTATAATGCCTTTATTACATGTACTTGTTGCCATATTGCACCATTTTTTTTGGTATACAAAATAAATAAAGGCTGTGAATATCTTTTTTATTTTGTCTCATTTTTGTTGGATTCTGGGAAGATGTTAATTTAAAAGATTATTAGTCAATATAAACATGTGCCTGTTATGCATATATTTTATATTACTTGTGATTTACTCAATTACCATGGTAATCATGATTGTTTAAGGACTTGCTCTTACCCGTAATAACCAGAAAGTCTACAAAAATTACAAAAAGCATATTAAACCTCAATTGGCATGCCATTTTAGTGACAGGTGTCCGGCACGTTGACTGGTCATTATCCCCAATCCCCTCTATCCAACAATTTAAACTGCAGTGGGTTTTTTTCACGTAACATGCGTTTAAATATTATAAATATGATTGTTATAGCATAAATTTCTTCCATTTTAAAAAGAAACAAAAACAGAAAAAAAAATATGCTTGTATATGCATTTTTGTGTCGCCTCTACGGAGTAGTGGCGACATATAGGGATCACTTCTCCGTCGTCTGTCTGTCTGTCTGTCTGTCCGTCCGTCCGTCACAAAACTTGTCCGGACTACACCTCATAAACTACTGGTGCAATTTCATCCAAACTTTACAGGAATGATCAGTACCAAGTCTAGTTGTGCATATTGTCAGCATTTTCCGGTTCAATGATTTTTGTCAGAGTTTTTATGGCCCTTTAATAATTTTTAATTTTAAAGTTTGTCCGGACTACTTCTCTTATACCACTAATGCAATTTCAATGAACCTTTACAGGATTGATCTGTAGCTCAAGTCCTTGCGCATATTGCACGGGTTTTCCGGTTGAATGATTTTTGGCCGAGTTATGGCCCTTTGATAAAAAGGTTTCTTTTTCTGTGTGTTGCCAGATACACAAAAGCTTGTCCGGACTACTCCTCATAAACTACTGGTGCAATTTCATCCAAACTTTACAGGAATGATCAGTACCAAGTCTAGTTGTGCATATTGTCAGCATTTTCCGGTTCAATGATTTTTGTTTGAGTTATGGCCCTTTAATAATTTTTATTTTTAAAGTTTGTCCGGACTACTTCTCTTATACCACTAATGCAATTTCAATGAAACTTTACAGGATTGATTTGTAGCTCAAGTCCTTGCGCATATTGCACGGGTTTTCCGGTTGAATGATTTTTGGCCGAGTTATGGCCCTTTGATAAAAAGGTGTTTTTTTCTTTTTTTTGCCAGATACGCAAAAGCTTGTCCGGACTACTCCTCATAAACTACTGGTGCATTTTTATCCAAACTCTACAGGTATGATCAGTACCACGTTTAGTTGTGCACTGTCCGTCTGTCACAAAATTTGTCCCAACATGAAATTGGCCATCATGAGGCGACACATGTGATTACTGATCGCTCTTGTTTAAGGTTGGGGCTATAGATAGGGTTCGGGTTAGTGAATCAATTCATGGCCAAATGTTGGTTGGTGTCGAGATTGAACAATGCGTTTAACGTTAATTATCTTTGTTGCTGTTGGAAAATTTAATTTATTTACAAAATCATAATTGAAAACTGAATATGCTTCAATTTAAGTCTTGATATGTCTATGGTTTGTTTTCGTTATTAATTTTATTTACAAAAACTAAAATTCTGAAATGATCTAAAAAATTTCAAAAATTGTTTCATGTTTCTGAGTTTTTTTTTTTTTAAATTTTCCCACCATCGAACAATGACGTATTGTACGCACATTTCCAAATGACGTCAGATATGCATGCAAGGCCTGGACGTTTAAAGACCATCAAATATTATACCACAATTTTCTGAATCTTTGAATGAAGATTATTAATTTTATTTCTGTGGCATTGAAAAGTCACGCGTAATCTTTTTCTTCTTTTTGCACCACCAGAATTATCAAATCGCCGCATTACAGATCTTGGAATTAACAAAGAGTTTTGTGTCTTTACTGGAAGAAACAATTGACATTTCAAAATCAAAGTTCTGAAGGCACTACAGTCGGGATCTGCCTGCATTTTTCCCCATAACGTTAATTAAACTTAATTATTCACACTGTTCTCAATACTTCCTTTTATCCGTCTTAGTTGATTCCCCCTATCGTCTTCTATGTACAATAAATGCCAGGTGTCAGATCGAAATACTAAGAACTACTTTTTACGCTCATCAATAAATGTGTCATTGACGGGTGAAAAGACTACTGTAGGAAATGCACCCAACTTTCATTAGCATTGTATTAACACAATGTGAAATAATTATTATAAGGATCTTGCAACGGCTGCGGGTACAGACCGGAATATCAAGCTTGAGGGTAAGACTGTTTTAGCGGTAATGCAATGGGGCTCTGCCGAGTTTCCACATTTATAAACAGCTTCCCGAGAACTATATATTCCTGTCTGTGACGACAACCGGTGTATGATTTATAACATTTTAGTAATATTTCGGAAAACTGATATTTTCAATCAGCACTTTATTTTTATAGTAGCGTATGAATTTACATCGTTATTCATAACGCAAAATGATGTCATCCTAAGAACACAATTCATTCATTAAAGCGCGCGGTAATGACGTCATTTAAAGTGCTTAATTTGTCTAACACCGACTGGTAGTACAGACTGAAATATCTAGTTTTATGGTGGTAGCAAGGATTTGCAAAGTTTCGGCTAAACAGTTAACCGAGAGCTACATATATATTCCATCTATAACGACAGCGGATGTTTCCATCTTTTCCTTGCATATTACATATTAATCATATACTTTAAATAGAAATTGCGAAAACTAAAAAGCAATTTTGATAATCTCAATAGTATTTTGATTTGCCATAAGTAGTAAAATGTGTTCCTTTGTATGTTAACCAGTTGACTCCAGCATCTATGTAAATATATTTTTATTATTTTTTGCGTTATTAACTTCATATCAATGACTGATGGAAAATACAAATGATATTATAAAATCAAATGAATTATATGAACATTTCTAACAAAATATTATAAATTGGCCGAAACGTTTCGCCCAAAGTGCTGTAACGACTCTGGGTGGGTCGATTTGGTTTGGGGCCGAAATGTTGTTTGTCATCCGAGGGAATATCTCGGCTATTATCCGCAGTTTGACAGGTCCGAGAAGATGCGATTACTGTGTGAGACTTATGCAATGGCGACTGATATTTTTGGCTTGCAGCCAGGGCTGCAAGCCATTTCATCTGGAAAACTTGTTCCGGTTATGTGGTTTCCTGCTTACATCTGTTGGTGCATGATTGAACGGGAAACCAGCTGCAATTGTGCCAATCGCAACTTTTCGGCCTTTTCCGTCAGTCTTCGGATTAATGATAATAGCCGATGTAGTTCCGATTGCAATCGTGACAATTCGGGCGATTCCGTCATACTGCGGGGTAATATTACGGAAATCTAAGCTATTTTAGTTACTTCGGTAATCCCAGTTTGTGTATATAAATAGGATTTCTATTTTTACTTTATTTATCGGTTTAAACCGTAATAAATTATAAACGAAATTGTTCCGTTTCATTTGTTTTTCAAGACGCAAAAGTTAGTTTCTTTTATAATTGTTTTTTTGTCTGTATTAGTTTTATACAATAGAGAATGGTGACTGTAGTATTATTCCGTCCTGCTTACCAAATCACGCATGATCGAGTTATATTTAGATCTACTGAACGCAATTCAACTTCTTGGTGAGGTAATCTAAAAATAGCCCATGCATATCATTAACCTTGCCACGTGCTGATCTATGTATCATAGTTCAGTTGATACATGCTTATTAATTGGTACCACGTAACGAAGTATTTTAGTGCATTTACTTGTCTATAAAGCAAAGGAATGATTTCGCTGCGAAAAAGGGGAAATGAGATGTGCACACTTGTTTTCCTTCAGTATCACGTTAATATTTTTACGATTGATCATTTTCTTTATTAGTTTTATACAATAGAGAATAGATCTAAATCGTTTTGACAAAAAAATATTCGGTTTTCCAAGAAAAAAAAAACAACTAAATAAACAAACAAAAAATGTGATAATAAATTGAAACCCCCCAAAAAAGAACAATTTTAAAGGGTTGGGATGAAGGCATAACTGTGCAAGCCTTTCCTTTTAAAAGGAAACTTTATACGTGACTTTTTTCTAGAATATGAAGATATTCATGAATACTGCACTGTTAATTTGGATGCAGCTTGTCCGATTATTATTGACTTTTGTGATGCCTCAGCAAAGTCAAAAAGATTTTCCGAGGCAACAGTCGATTTCTTCTCCGACAGAGGTTTGCCACTGGCTTACTTTTTTCAAACTGGTCAAACTGCACTTTCCGCGTACGTGTTGGGAAAAACAGACAGTAAAAGTGAGGCTATTGAAAATTTAGAGGCATTCTTTGCAGATGGTAGGTCTTAATCTGTGTTTTATGGAGGTTAATTCGATAATCAAGTCATGCATTCAATCGCTTTTCTACTTTCACTTTGATTCCGCACCGGATGTTTCTACACACTGTTTGGCAAAACCACCTGTAAATTTATGTACGCAACAACAAGTTCTTTTGATTCAAATTATGCATCAACAAAAAATCACATTTTCATAAAAAAAATGTCATTCCACTTAGAAGCAACACATTAATGTTTTTATCCATTTTTAATCTTGAATTTTAGTATTGAAATATAGGCTATTTCAAATAATCAAATCACCATATAAGAATACTGTAGTAATATCATGATAATATGAAATAAGGCAAAGCCTATGAACAGGAAAGTCGTTCATTCTAAATTAAACTATTCAGTATATTTCATTCACCGCTTCCGTTTTCACTTGGAACACCTTGATAATTATTATTAAACCGAAAATTTGCAATTATTCCGTTGTCAGAATACACCACCTATTGTCATTCAGTTACACTGAAAATGGCGGTGCCCAACTAGACATAACACTGAAAATTTCACTGATAGGTATAGAAATCCATATATCTTTTAATTGATTTTTATTTGGTTTCCTTTTACATATACACGCATAGTCTGCAGCCGGGCAAGTCCTGGGTACATGAAGTGGACACGGCATTTGACTCCCTTGTAATACAAAAA